TATAAAATTATCATTAGAGAATAAAATAATGATTAATTATAATGAAAAATTAAAAATAATATAAAAATATAATAAATAATTTAATTAATATAAAAAAATATATTTAATAATATTTTTAGATTCATTACAAAAATAAATCTAAATAAATATAATTTTTCAATATATAATATTAATTTCGAATTTTATTATATATAATATAATTTTTTAATCAAGGATGTTCATATATATTTTGTTCTTCTTTTTATACTTTATTTTTTTCTTGATCTATAATTGATTTATATACAATATTACTAATTAAAATATCGTCTTAAGGAGTGTTATTTGTATTTTAATTTTAGAATTATTAAGATTATTATAATTCATTAACAACTAAAGATTAAAGATAATTTTCATTTTATTATTGTTAAAATTAATCACTTAATAACAGATTTTATTATTCTTATTAATCATTGTTATTATTAATATTCTATTAGAAAAGGTTTTTTTGATTTTATATATTGTCTTTTTATTATTCGTCTTAAATATTCTATAGATTTTAAATATAAAGCATGTCTTATAGTTAATTTTATTATTAATTTTAAACTGTCAAAAGTAACTATGTTTTTTGCATTAACTGCTCGTTATTTAATTCTTAATTATTTGATAATAAATTAGCTAAAATTTATGTATTATTAATTTATTATTAGTCATTATTATTTTTTGTATTTGACTTTTGTTATTTTATATCAAATTCATCTTAAATATTTTAGATTACAGCAATATTGTTTTAATTTTAATTTGTTTTACTTATTTATTCTAAAACTACATTTATTATTATAATTATTTTTCAAGTTAATCTAATAGACTTTATTATTATTATTCTTAAATTTTATCTTAGCTATTTTAATTAAGCATTTTTTATTTCTCAAGTTATTATTGATTTTATTTAATTTATTATATCAGTATTTACTAAATGCTTATATTTTCTTATATAGATTTAATATTATTTAAATGTATGTCATTATATTTTAAGTTCAATTATTATTATAAAATTGGATATTTTTATTTAAAAATTATTATTAGAATTAAAGTCAAAATTTTATTTTTAATTAATATCTTATTATTGTGTTTATTATTATTAATTTATAACAGAATTTTACTAATACTCAGAAATTTAATTTATTTATTTATTTAGATTTTAATCAATAATTATTTTATCATCTTAAATATTGGAGTAATTTTAAATATTATTTAATTATTATTAAGACAAATTATAAGAATTATATTATTATTCAGGTTATAAATTATTATTATGAATCATATTTTAATAAATTTGTTAATTTTAATTGGATATTTATTAAAAATATTGATATATATTATTATTATTATAATTATTATTATTATATTATTATTATTATTATTTTTATTATTATTATTCTTATTATTATTATTATTAATTATTATTATTCTTATTATATTTATTATAATATTATTATCTCATTATTTATTACTAATATTATTATTATTATTAACTCTATTACTATTGTTAAAATTATTTTAAATTGTTTTATTACCAATTATCATTACTTATTTATTATATTTATTATTATTATTATATATTATTTATATTTATTTATTAATAATACATATTACTATTTTAATTTACATTTTTTTATATATTCATATTATTAATTTAATTTATTTTGTTTATTACATATCCTTATTCATTTATATTTTATTATTTTTATAATTAGCTTTAATTATTATTACTAGCATATTATTATTTATTTATATTTTTTTGCATTTCCTTTTTAAAAATTTCATTTTAAAAATCCTATTCATTAAGAAAATTATGACCTATTTAATTTATTTATTCCAAAGTAACATATTTATCTTTAATTAATTATAATATAATTAAATTTAATTCCAAATATTATATTTTTGGATCTATAAATTTAAAACATTATTTAAGTTTTTCATCTACATTTTCTAATTACGTCTAATTGCTTTAAAAAAAACTTTATAAGAATTATTAAAATTCTCCTAACAAACTGTATTCGATATGTTACTTTGACCAGTAAAGTCCTTCTATCATTGGAATAATCTGTTTTAAATCAATCTAATTATTAGCAATTGCTTATGCACTTTGATAAATTGTATCTACATATTAAACTAAAATTTATATACCTTAACAAAAGTTTTTAGCTTATTATATTTCAATTAATTTTTTATTTCTTTTTATTAATCTCGATTATTTGATTATATCATTAATATTAATTCTTTGCATTTTTAATTATTTAATCCTTATTTTCTTTATAACTATAATTCAAAAAAACCTCTTGCTTTCATACACATACATTCTAACTAAATTTTATTTACTCTATGAGGTTATTAGTTTCTAATGTTATCATTTTAATTTAACTGCTAATTTCCCATCTTAATATTATTTTTGAATCTTTAAGCTTCTTATTTATTATAATTATAAATTCTATTATAAAATAATATAATAAATATAATATTGTATAATCATCAAAAAATTTCAAAAAAACATATAGTAATATAAATTAAAATAGTAAATAATAATTGCATATGTTTTATTTAATAAAAAATAATTTAACATGTTAATTTTAATTAAATATTTTTTTTTAGGATAATCTTAAATAATAATTATTAAAAATTTCAATTAGTTTATTATAAATTAGATAAGAAAAATAAATATCTTTTTTTAAAAAACTTAAATAAATAGACCTAGAATTTACATTACTTATTATTATTCGCCTCTTTATAACCCTCTTTTCCAATATCTAAAAATTAAAATAAAAAAATACATTTATAAAATAGAAAATATTTATAATATGAAGAATATGACCAATAAATTTTCCATAAACATGTCTTAAACCCTCTAAATATTTACCTTTATAAATAATTCTCAAAACACATTAAAAAACTCCAAAGCAAAATTTTTTATTATTAAATTAATCTCGCTCTTAATTATCACTAATTTAATAATGAATATTTTTTTTTTCCCAAAAACCGTATTCATTTCTTACACCATTTCATTAGAAAAGATTTTTTATCCTATTCAATTCTTTAAAATCTTAATTTATCCATCTATGAATTCCTTTCCTATATGCTTTACCGAATTTCCATTCTCCAATATAACTTTCTCTTTATACTCCCTACCCATTAACATTTTCCATGTTTTTATCCATTTATCTATTCTCCTTCATATGTTTCCCCGCTTGCCCATACATATGCACCTAATCCTTCATGTTTTCTGTTTGCCAATAATATTTATAAGCATCACCGTTTGTTGGGATATATTTAATAACCAAAATCAATTTGAAATCGTTTTGATGTTCTGCTTCATAATGATTACTCGTAAAAATAAAGCATTATACTGAAAAATTTATATTTTTATTAATAAAAGAATATTTTTATTTTTTTTACTATATAATATCTTTTCTTGTTTTTTATAAAAAAAAAAATAGAAATTGTCCCTAATAAAAAGAGTTATTATAACTTTTTAATTTTTAAAAGGGGCTTTTATTAAGCTTTTTAATTTATTTTATTTATTAAGAATGAATTTAATGGTATTTTTCTTTAATAATTTATTATATTTAAGATAAATAATTATTATCCTTTTTTAGTTTAAATATATACATAATACATAATTGATTAAATTATAAATATTTTAATTTAAATTTTATTATTTTAGTTTTGAAACATCTAATATTTACTTTTAAAATTTTATAAGAGAAATACTTTAAGATTAATATAATTAAAATTAATCGCTAACTCAATATTTATAATCTTATAAATATTAGTTCTAACTATAATTTTCTTCAATTATTTAGTTCGATTTTTGTTTTCAAATTTATTAAATTTAATTTTTATTTAATTACATATATATAAAAATAATTAAATAATCAATCAGATTTGATTATATTTTATAAATTTTTATTTGTATTTAAAATTTAACCTTTTTTATTTTAAAAGTTTTAATTTATAATAAATTATATAAATATTATTTAACATAATCAATCATTAATATAAACTAATTATAGTTTTAAGAACTTTATTTTATTAACCTAATATATTATAATTTTTAAAATTATAAATCATTAAAGAAAATTTTAAATTTCTATATAAAGAATATTTATTTTAAATTAAATATAAAAAGTAAAAAATATTTTTTTTTTCAAAAAAATTATATAATGAAAATATTTATCTATAAAAAATTGATAAAAATAAACTAATTAAATTATTTAAATAACAAAAATATTGAAATCAACTATGAAATTATTTAAAAAAATAAATAAAAAAAATTAATTTTTTTTATAAAAATATGATTATTTAATTTTATATTTATATATTATTTAGCTTTAATTTAATATTTTATAAATTTATAAAATATTATTCATATTTTTTTTTAATGATTTTATTATAAATATAATGTATTATAATAATTTGAAAAATTCTAATTAAATATAAAAAAATTTAAACAATTATAAAGATAAGTTGGTTTAAATTTTAAATAAATTAATCAATTTTAAAATAATTTTCCATTTTAACTAAGAAATTTATTAACATTAATAAAATATCTATTGATTTAAGTAAATATAAAATAAATTAAGAAAAATGTTTTTAATTCAAAATTATATTATATTTAATTAAAACTTCTTTTTTTTTGTTAAATATATTTTTGAAATTTTACTTATATTTTAATTAAATTAAAAGTAAAATAAATGGAAATAAATCACTAATGTAATTAAAAATATTTAAAATTAATAGAATTTTATGTTTATTTGACATTTAATATTATTTTTGTTATTATATTATATAAATAATTATTTCTTTTGATTTAATACTTTAAAAATATAATATTAAATTTATTTATATACACATATTCATAAAATAATTTTATAAATAAATTTTTTATATAATAATTGTAGATATTCATATAATTATATTATTTTAATATAAAAAAAAATATTTACAAATTTATATTAAGCATATAAATGTCCTAGAATAAATAAGAAACTACTAAAATAAAATGTGTAATGGTAGGAGATGGAGCAGTTGGCAAAACCTGCATGCTGATGAGGTTATTTATTACTAAATATAATTATAAATTAAATAAAAAAATTATCTGACATAAAATTACATAAAATAATTATAAAAAATTATTTCATAAAGATATTAAATCTTAAAATTTATTATTTATATATTTTTTTACATTATTTCGAATAATTAACTATTACAAATTATTCATATTTTTAAATAAAAAGCTATACTATGGACAAATTTCCAAATGATTATATTCCAACAGTTTTTGACAATTATACAGCAACAGTTGAGGCCGATGGAAAAATGATTCACTTGGGTTTATGGTAAAAAATAACAAAAAATATAATAATTTACAAATAAATAGGGATACAGCTGGATAAGAAGTATATGAAAAATTAAGACCATTAAGCTATGCTAATACTGATGTATTTATTATTGCATTTTCAGTTATAGAGCCTGCATCTTTTGAAAATGCATTGAAAAAAGTTTTACTTTAATTTTTAATATAATAAAATACAAAAGAAGCATAAAAATATATTTATTAAAAAAAAAAATTATTTTTAATTAAAAAGTTTTATTTATTTTTTTATTATTAATTTAAAGTGGTACCCTGAATTGCAAGATAGTAATAAAAATGCAATAAAAATATTTGTTGGAAATAAGATTGATAAAAGAGATGATTCTTAAATTATTCCTGGTAATAAAAATTCACCAATAACATAAAAAGCTGTAAAATAAATAAAAAAATATTTAAAATCTTTATTAAATTTAAGGCGTAATAAATTGTTTCAGAATTAGGATGTACATATTTAGAATGTTCAGCTTTAACTTAAATTGGATTAAAATAAGTATTTGATGAAGCAATTAAGTCAGTATTAAGAAAATTAAAACAATAAAAAAAAAAATAGGATTTATAATGCAATTTAATATGATAAAAAAATAAATTATAAATAAATGAAAATTATTTTATATCCAAAAATAACCTAATAGTAATATTAAATAAACAAATTAACCGAAACATATATAATTTTTTTTATATATATTATTTTAAAATTAGTTATTTTTTTGATTAATTAATTAATATAAAAATTGCTTTAATTAATAATGAGTTTATATATTATAATTTATATTCAAAAAAAATTAACAGATAACTTTATATTTTCATATTTTTTTTATTTACAAGGATATATAGATATTCACTTAGTTATAAGTTTAAATAAAAAAATAAATCAAACTGTATTATTTTTATAGTTTTATTTTTGAATATCTAATTATATGTCCTATCTTAAATTAATAAAATTTTAAAGCGCTACTTTTTTCAAAGCTGGATTTTCTCTATCATAATCAGAGTCAAAAAAAGGTTTAGCTTCGAAATAAGAGATAGTTTCATTCTAAGATTTAATAGGAAAAATATAATCATTAATTTATTACATAGGTAGTAAATTTATTAAATTAAAAATTATCATAAACACGAAATACCAAACATTAAAATGTCCTTTTAATTCAATTTAAAAGAAGAAAACTCCAAACAAATAAAAAACTGAGCATAATTCCAGAAACCAAACCATTTCTAAAGAAAGATTTTTTCCTATATTTTCTTTTGCAATTCTTCTATAAATAAGATTATATTTATCAATCCAATAATAAATAAAAATCCCAATAATTGAAAAAACAATTCCTAAAGGAATTGCAGGGCTATAAAAAAATGTAAACCACATTGTTTTCATATTTTCGGCATATCTTTTGGCAATGGAATATTCGGGAAATTCCATCAATAAATTAGCTTCTTATTGAGTAAGTGTAGATTTATCATTTTTTTATTTTTCCTTTTTTAACTTTATCTTTTTAAGAATGTACCAAGGATCAATAAGCCAAACTAAAGGAGAAATAAATGCATTAAAAATAAAGACTAGAAATTCACTATAAATAATACCGCCTCCGATCTCATATAAATTATGGAAAAGAATAATTTCAACAAGAAAAGTAATCAAAGCTGTATTCGCAAATAATAAAACAGTTAACTTTTTTGCAAAAGAAATATTAAAACTTGTTAAAGTTGGCCATTTTTCTATATGTACAATTAAATGCACAATTTGAGGCATAAAAAACTTATTTAAAAATGTAATTATGAAACTGATTAAATAAGTTAAAAAAGTAAACAAAATTATTTTACTGTTTTAAGATTATTTTATTTCTTCTTCATATGCATGTTCTAATGTTTAAGATTAAAAATAACTAATCAATGCAATTAATGAAAAGCTAAACATCATTAATATAATTTACAATATAAATCCTAATAATCTTCCCTTTAATTATTCATTTTCGTTTAAATGGATAAACTCCCAATTTATTTCATTTGGCTCAGGAGCTTATTATAAATATATATGCCTATCTTTATAAATAATGAAGTTACTATATTATAAAGTTATTCCGTTTGTTAAAAAAAACATTAAATTCCGAAAAAAACTTTACTTATTATTATTCAAAGCTTCAAATTTTTCTTATTCTGTTTAAAAACTTACGAATGCAACTCCTTCAAATTTAGAATGGTCATTTTATGTATTTATTTCTTCTTCTTATAGTAAAGAAATAAGCTCTTTTATTTGTAGATCTATTTCAACTATTTCTTTAGCATTTAATTAAAAACCGTTTAGATTTAATAATTTTTATTTCTTTTTTATATAATTTTTTATTTAATTTTCAATTTTCAATATTTTTTCTATATTGTATACAAGAGTTATTTATGTCACATTTAACTTTTTAAAAGTAGCGGCTTAATGAGTGAACATATTTCTTAATAATTTTTTTGGATTCGGAGTGTTTTTTGGTATATTTCTAACCAATATGCTAAAATCAGCTGGAGTCTAATATTTTTCGTCAACTTTTGCTTCAATAATTTTTTGTTCTTTTCTAAAATTTATTGTTAATACTAATTAAAATAACATACTTATTATCGTCCAATAAGTCATTAATTAAGACTCTGATTAATCCAATAGATTAACAACAGAATATTGAACTACAAAATTACTTTAACAAGGTAAAAGCTCATTTTATGATTAAATATTATTTACGTCTTATTTTACTTTTAGCTTTTTATATACTTCCTCCACTGTACTATTACAAAAATCCCCAGAAGAATTAATAATAATATTAGGCAATCCTTAAAATAAGAATAAATATATGAGCATAATAATGCAATACTTTAAATAATTATAAAATAAAGGATAACCGCTTCCAAGAAACCCTAAGTCAAGTACATTTATAAAAATATTAATTTTTTGTCTATTTATTTCATATCCACAGCATTTGCAGACTCTTTAAATTTTTTAATTTTACAATTCTGGTTTTGTCTCACGGGATCTTGCATGCATTTTTGCTAATTCCCAGTCTGGAGGTATTTTTATATAATCATAAATTTATTTTTTATTTTATTGTGTTTTTAAAGAAGAATTAGATTTTATAGATAGAATTGATAAACTACTAGCTTTTTTAGAAGAATTTTCACCCTATAAATCAGAAGGCTATTACTTTTATTTTTTTTTGTTTGATATACCATTTTAAAATGTATCTGGTACATCATATGGAAATGTAGGGAATATCTTATTTGGTACTTTGGTAATTATTGTTTAGTAATTATTATATATAAATTTAATCTATTCTGATTTTTATTAATCTTAATTATTTGGAGATGTTTATGTTTATAAATAAGACATTCTCTTACTAAGAATAATTATATTTACTTTTTATTGTTTAATAATAAATTATATTTTATTAAAAAAAGTTAGTTATTAAAATATGATAATATAATTAATATAATATAAGTTTGCATTTAAATATTAAATTAAAAATGTAATTTTTATTCAAAATAAATAACAAAAAAATAATTTTATTGATTTACAAAAATTAGAATTCCTATAATTTTCATTATATTTCCCTTTTAAACCCGTTTTCCCAATATCCAGATTTTTCAATACCATTTTTATTTATATAGCGTACTGTTCCAGTTAGTTATCCATCCTTCCAAGTTCCAATAAGCATTCTACCATCAGGCCAAATATATTTTCCTAATCCATTTCTTTTTCCATTTTTATATTATCCGTCATATTTTCTACCATCAATCCAATAAAAAATACCTTTACCTTCCATAACATTTTTATTCCAATCTCCAACATATAATTTTCCGTTAGGGAATCTAAAATAACCTTTCCCTTACAGATTATTTTTATCAAAAAAACCTACATAATAGCTCCCATTTTTCCAATAAAAAGCTCCTTTTCCTTATTTTACTCCATTTCTATAAGATCCTATGTATTCCGATCCATCTTTCCATATTTATCTACAATCATCTCCATTGAATTTAGAATTTTAAAACTAACCATTATAAATAGAATCATCAGCAAAAAAATAATATTAACCTTATCCTTCTATTTAATCATTTTTAAATTAACCTACATATCTTATATTTAATATATATATTATAACTATAAATTTATTTTACATATCTCCATTCGAAAATTAATAATATCCATATCCATTCATTTAATTTTCATTCCAATATCCTACATATTATTCATGAATGAGATTTCCACCTTCATAAGTTCTCCAAACTTGCTTTCCTATTCCACATCTTTCTTATTTAAACCAGCCACCTTTATAATAATCATCACTATCAATAAATTAAAATATATAAGGAATATTAATGACTGCTTTTTTGTTTATTTGATGAATCTAACTATATTTAATATTTATTTTTTTGAAAATAAATATATTTTATATAACGCATTCTGCAAGCATTTTTCTGAAGTTAAATCGAAATTCTTTAGAACTTTCTCACGAAATCTTTTAATTTAAGAATTTTCTCTATTTGGGAAACTTTCCACTTGCTTGGCAATCCATTTGCTTGGTGAGGATAGTCTATATATTATATCTTTTGGATCAATATATTTCTATTTGTTTTTTTTTTTGTATAAAACACGAAGAAAGAAATTTTCTAATATCAAAATTGATCTATTATATTTCTCTTTTTCTATTCATAATATATTATTTTTCATAAAATATTAATATTTTTTATATACATTAATAACATTAGTTTTCTTCAAAGTTAATATCATTAGTAAAATATTTATCTTTAAAATTTTTCATCTTAGTCATTTATTAATTTGTTTAATCATATTTTATAGTATGAATATCATGATTATTGTCCTTTTATTTAAGTATAAATATATATAAGGATAGTTAAAATAAAAAGAAAAAATATGGAGATTTTTATTGTTATAATAATATTTATTTAAGAATGTTTATATTTAAAATTAATATTAATTTATAAATTAAAATCCTTATTCAAATATTTTTTATACATCATAACTTTAAGAAATCTCATATCCTATGTTTGAGTTATAAGAATATTCCATTTTATCAATAAAATTAATTTCTATTTTAAAATTTTAAGTAATAATAAAATATAAATATTTATTATTTATTAAATATTAAACATTTTATAAATATTTATTTTTAAAAAATAGTTATTTTTTTTAATTTAAATAAAACAATGGAGTATAAAGTTATTTTAGTTAATAAAAATTACAAAGTATTATTTTTTATTTTAATTTAACAAAATCCCTCATATATAATATATTCTTATATAAGAAGATGCAATTAATTAATCACTATCATAAAATGATGTTTTAGTAATCAAATTTCCGCTCAAAATTTCTACAGGAATTGTTTAGTCTGCTGATTCAATTACTTATTACCAATTATTTGTAGAATCAGGCATTACAAATCCAAATTTAAATTTCATTTTTTCAATTAATTATCCATTTAAAAGCATTTCTTAAATTAAATATAAATTATTTATTTTACTTTTTGTCGAAAAATTTATTTCTTATTAAACTATTGATTATTTTAAAATATCTTTTGGTATTTATGCCTTTACTTCATTTTAGTTATTTATTAATTGTTATGGATTTTAATAAATCCATATATTTTATCCAGTTTAAGGATTTCCTAAAGATACATAATTTATTTAAAAACCTTCTTTTATTTTATGTTATAATAAATTTTATTCTTTTTATTATTTATATATTTACATTTTAATTATAAAAAAAATGTTTTTTTATAATAATGTTAAAAAAGTAATTATAATTATAATATAACAAGAAAATTATTGAATATTAAAATTTAAATATTATCTTCTAAACCAATTATTATTTAAAATAAAAGCAAATAATAGGTTGAATATGATTAAATTATTATTTTGTTTTTAATTAAATAAAAAAAAAAAATTCATTTTGTTTAATTATATATTAAAAAAAATCAATATTTTATTTTAGAAAATTTATTAGTTTTTTAATTTAGAAATAATTTAGTTAATTATTTATAAAAATATATAAATACTTATAAAAAGTAATAAATATTTTTTTAAAAATATCAAAAAACTTCTAATAAAAATATTTATATTAAATTATTGTTCAGTATTCTTTTTATTTTTTCTGTAATTTATTTTTAAAGACTCAATTCAAAAAAAATGCTAGAAAAAATAAATAATATCATGTTTTATATTGTTAATTAAGTTTTAAAAATAAAAAACGATAAGCGAAAAATAAAATTCATAATATATTTTTTAAATTTAAATAATTTATTAATTTTTATTTATATAAAATATTAATTAATAAATAATATTATTTTTATTAATTTTAAATTAAATACTTAAGTTATTAAAATTTTAAGTTTTAAATATATTTTATTATATTAAAAATTTGTAATCCAAAAGAATTAAATAACTATTATAAAACAGTTTTTTTGTTGTTTTATTATTTTTAAAATTTAAAATTCAAAATAATAATTTTAATATAATCTTTATTATTAATATTTTTTTTAAAAAATATTACAATGTAAAATGTTAAAAATATTTTGAACTTTTTTACTGAGCAATTTAATTTTAAATAAAATAGGTAAATATATTGTAATAATAATAATAATAAAAACACTTTTATATAAAGGGAAAATGATAATGATATTTAAAATAATGTAGATAATTTTTAAATTAAGTATTAAAATAAAAATAAAAATAATTTTAAAATTAAATACTTTTTATAAAAAGTTTAACTTAATCATTTTATAATTTGAATGGAGTTAAGAAAGAACCTAACTAAATTTTATAAAAATAACTAGAAAATAGTGAGTAAAAATAAAATGAAGTGTAAGTAAAATTTTAATTAATAAAAATAAATTTATTTCAAAAAGAAATATAAATATTAAAATGAGGCAAGAAGACGAAAAAATGATAAAAATCTATTCAGATAAAGATTCTATTTAATAATAAAAAATAGATTATTATGAATCATTTTAAATCTAAAATGAATCATAAAATGAATCATAAATTGAATCAAATTTTTACGAAAATAATTCCGTAATTTTTTTAGATAATGAAACAAAATTGAATAAAAAAATAAAAAAAAAATCATATTAATAAAAATCAATTTATAATATTAAATGTATGGAGACTAATGAAAATGCATCAAGTTTTTTCAAAGTAATTTCAAATTTATTATATTTATTTTTAATAGTGATACATATGTTTTTGTTTAATTAGGCTACTCCAATAAGAAAATACAAACCAATTATTATTAAAAAAAGCAATTCATTATTAACATATCCATAATCACCAAAATTAAGTAAAAGTACGAAATAATAATGAATAGAAGTTAAAAAATAATAAAAAATTATATAAAAAGTATATAAACATAAATAATAAATATTTTAACATATATATATATTTGAAAAAAAAAAAATGTTATAATGTGATATATTCATTTTTTTATTGCCAATAATTTTTTTATAATACTTTTTTTTATTTTTTTTGGAAATCAATTTTTTTTTTCAAATATTTTTCTTTTTTGAAATTATAAATATGATTTTAAAAAAACTAAATTTTTAATACTTGATAAAAAAATTTTTCAACATTTTATTTCCAAAAAAATAAAATATAATATTTCGAAATAAAAAACTTTAATCATAATGTTATAAATATTTAATTTAAAAATAAATTTCACTATTAAACATAAGGTTTAATTTTCATAACTTTTCCAAAACCAATAGTTTTTTCTTCATCTCTTAAAGTGAATCTTCCCAAATGGTCTAATTTTTCAAATTTTTCAAGACATAAAATATTTTTCGGAATCTAAAAATAAAAATAAAAAAATAAATAATAAAAAAATATACCATAATTTTAGCAACACCAATTTATCCACTTTTCAAAAAGGTATTTTTAGTTAGTTTTTTATTCTCAGGATTAAGGACAGCTTCAACTTATTCGATTTCAATATCAACAACACAAGTATGTAGATGCATAACACAAGTATATCCTTAAGAAAATATAGGTTTATGTACCGGTAACTAAAGAATAGTGATTTCAGCTACAAAACATTAAGTAATAGGACACAAATCATCAGTACTGCATACCATAAAGCCTCTTTCAATATCTTTTTCATCAATACCTTTAACTTTAATTCTGATATTTTCACCAGCTGATGCATAAAAAATTCTTTAATCTTTAGTATTATAAATAGAACTAATTTAGAATTATTTCATATTAGGCATAAGAGTAACCCACATATCTTCTCTAATTGTACCTTATTCAAGTTTACCAAATATAAATTAACCTTATTCTTTATACTTATCAAGTACAGGAATTCTAACTGGTCCATTCGAGTCTCTGACAGGAACTGGAGCTTTATTAAATTTATCAAAAAGAGTATCTCCAGTATACCAATTGCATTTTTCAGTAGGAATAGGCGTATCAATATTTTCGTTTAAAAATCCATTTATAGGTACCCATTCAATACTAGTAATACCTACTTATGTTCTCAAAAAATGATCTACTGATTCTTTAATATATTCATATCTACCTTTATCCCAATTAATTTCGTCCATTTTTGTTACCACACAAACCATATGTTGTACTCCTAAAGCTTTTGCTAAATGAGCATGTTCTTATGTTTGACCTCCTTCAAATCCTGCTTCAAATTCTCCTTAACGAGCAGATATTACCAAAGCAGCTATATCAGCTTAGCAGGCTCCTGCAATCATATTTGGTACATAATTTTTATGTCCAGGTGCGTCTAAAAGTACAAATCTTCTATTTTATAATTAAAAGTGAGCTTTTCCGCATTCTACTGTGATACCTTTTGTTCTTTCTTCATCATTTATGTCCATAATATATGCTAAAACCCAACTTTCTCTGTTATTTTCTTTAGCTTCTTATTCATATTTTCTAATTTCTACTTCGTCAACTTCTCCACAATTCTTCAATATACGGCCTGATAAAGTTGATTTTCCAGCATCAACGTGTCCGATGAATACTATATTGGCTGATTCTCTATCTTTATCAACTAATGCATATTCATTACCATCTTTATAATTCTTTAGTTCATATTCTCTGGCTTCTTCTAAAGTTATTTATTTTTCATGTTTGTAATCTGCTTAAACGGTTTGGGTAGCTACTTTTCCGTCTTTTTATTATTCTTAAAGTTATTAGAGTCTTTTAGGAATTTCTATTTTATTTTTATTTATTTTATTTTAAATTAATTTAAGTTTTTTACTTGGTGGTGGTGGCTCTTTTTTAGGAGCAGGCTTTTTTTCTTTTTGTTATTCTTTTTTATATTAATTTAATTTTTATTGTTGCTTATTATTAGCTTAATTATTTTAGCTTTATACATAATTATATTATAACACAGGTGTAAATTAAAAGTATTTATTATCTTCAGTTGTTAATATTACAGGAAGGGGTCTTCCTAATTAATCATTTATAAAGTTCAAGTATAAATCACTATTCTAATCATATAAATCACCGACCATGTCTCCTTCATATGCAGGCGATATAAATACAGGATTACCATTGAGGTCATAATACCATTCTCCAAAACAGTATCCACCTTCTAACCAAACTCCTTATCTTTTACCTTATTCATCAAATGGGGGAAGAGATTCTAATGTAGGAATTGTAAAATCTTCAGACCAACCGACTGTTTATTATTATTGAGGTTATTATTAAGTTTGGACTGCTGGTACAACTTCTTCTGGAATAAACGCTTGTTAAGTTAATTTCATTTATTTTTTTACCTTTTTTTATACTCCCTTTATATTTTTTTGTTTGAGATTATTATTATTATTTATTTTATTTACATCAGTTGCTGGGGGTACGTCAGACATTTTATTCTTTTTTTTTATAAAAAAATATTTTTGTTTTATTTTTTTTTTAAAAAAATTTATAAAAATATTTATTTATATATATATATTTTCTTCACTTTTTTTATTTTGTACTTATTAATATAATTTTATCTTTTTAATAATATAATTTTTAGTAATTATTAAAATATAAAATTAGATTAAAAATAATTGAAAGAATATCTATTTATACTTTAAATTTTACATAAAAATAAGTAAAAAAGTTTTAATTTTAATATACAACAGAAATAATAAAAAACTCTTTATTATTTTTATTATTAACAAAAAAACAGAATATATTGTTTCTAATTTTTTGGATATATTATCTAGTTTTAATTTTATAAAAATTGACATAAAATCATGATATTAATTCCTGCTTTATTTATACAATTTAATTAATATAATATGATATTTTAAATATTTTATTTTATTGTATATTTATTATCTATTATAAATAGAATTCTATTTATTTAACCCTTCTCAAACTAAATTTTTCCAAACTAATAAATATATTAATTTCTAAAATTTAAATTAAAAAGGCTGCAGTTGCGATAAATTCTATTTAATTCTATTTTTATGATCTAGCTCAGATTACTCATTTTATTAAAAACGTGGATATTATTTGTTAAAAAGTGTTTGATAAAAATTAATTTGACTCTACTATTATTTTTCCCTGTATTACTTATTGAAGAAGGAAATATATTTTAAAATGTCTTTTATCTTTTTAATTTACTAATAACATTTCTATCGATAATAATCATCATAATATGTTTTTTTAGTTTGTATATTTAAAATAATATTATTTAAATCTTCAAAAAATTCATTATTGAATTTTGATTTATGAATTGAGTTTTTTTAATTTTTTAATAAGTCTATTAAATTATTAATATTTCTATTTATTGGTTTTCTTAAAAATTCTTTTCTAAATTTAAAGACTATTTAGCTTTTTTATTAAAATATGATGTAAGTAAAAGGTAACATTTATAAGAAATATTAATTTGAATATTTTATTTATTTTAGCATTAATTATAATTTCATGAAAAATTTTTATAAATCATAAGTTAATTCTTAGTTAAAAAAAAATAAAAAAATCTTAACTTAAATTAGTAAAATCTTTTAGCTAATTTTAAATTTTAAACAGCTTGATTTTAATTTTATTTACTTATAATACTTTTGCTTTTTTTTATATTATTTTTATCAATTGTATTTTAAAAATATTTTTTGAATCATAAATTAATAGTATTTATTTTATAATATTTGTTTTTTTTTTTAATAAAATTTATATATTTTTTATTATTATTTTAATTTAAGATAAAGATAATATTATTATATAAATAAAAAAAATATATAATGATATATTTTCTAAAATTAAAAATAAAAATTAAATAGTTTATTGTATTTAAAAGATTTAAATAAAATAAACAAGTAATTTTATTCTTATTAATATTATTTTATTTGTTTAAAAGAAAATTAGATATTTTAAAAGGAAAAATTCTTTATATGCATTTAAAAATAAATATAAATATTAATTTTTCATATTTATAAAATTTTAATTATTTATAAATATATTTTATATAATTTTTAATTTTATCATTTGTTATTTAATTAGTATAAGTAACTTAAATAAAACTTATATTTATATTTATATTTATATTTATATTTATATTATATTTATATATTTAAATATATATATTTATAATAAAGTTTTTATATATATTTTATTTTAATAAAAATTTATTAATTTTAATATTTTTTATATAATTAAATTAATGCATTCACGCAAAATAATTTTCTACTTCATCTTCATAGTCTGATTCAATATTATAATCTTCTAGAGCCATTTTAGCCCTTTCTCTTTATCTACATATTTATAACATTTATTTATTATACATAAATAATTAATTTATTACTCTCTTTTTCTATCATCTTCTCTTTATTTTCTTAATTTTTCTTATTCTAATTTTTTTAGTTTATCTAAAGCTAGCTATTCTTTTCTATAAAAAAATTTATAAATTTATTATTTTTATTAAATACAATTTATCTTTTATGCTAAAAGGCCATTATCTATAGTCCTTTTTTTATAAAAGTTTAACATCATTAATATTGAAATTTTATTTAATCTTTAATAATTCGAAATATTTTTATACTTTTTTTAAAAACTCCTATTCATCTTTAAAAATTTGTAAGTCTTTATCTTTTCTAATTATATATAAACATATTAAATCATTAATTTCAAATTAAATTAACTCACTTAAAAATATTTATGATAATCTTTTATTTTTAATATCTTTATATTTTTCATTTATATAAAATGATTAATCAAGTAATATTTATTATGAAATTATATTTTATGAATTAGTATAAAATGCTTTCTTTTTTTTTTTATCCTTTTCTTTATCTTTTTTTTCTTTTTCTTTTTCTCTTTAAATTTAATCTACATATGAAACTGTACTTTAAATATCAAAATGTTTTTCTAATAAAGAAATGAAGCTTTTTTTATCAATATCATTAGTAATTAATTAGTGATTCTTAAAATTTAAATAATTTTATATTTATATTTATATTTATATTTATATTTATATTTTTTTTATTAATATTAAATATAGTTTTTTTTTTTTATTGCCATATTTACCTATAAGTATATTAAAAGGTCCTTAAATTTAACAGTTTCATCTTTTATTCCGTATTTATTATTTTTATTTTTTATTTTCAAATGATTAAATAAATCATTTAATATTTTTGAATAATTTTAACACATTATTTATTTTTATTTTATATGAATCTTTTTTTTTAATTATAATAAAAAATATTTTTTTTTTACATCAAAATTTTCCAAATTAGTTTGACTTTTTTATTCTGATATATTTATTATGCTACTTGTTTTATTATATTTTTATTCAAAATACGGCTGAATTATTTCAACAATAAATTTTTCCAGGCTCCTATGTAAACAATTTATATTATTATATTTCAAAAAGCTTAATCTTACAATCAAATCTACAAAATGTCTATAAAGAATTACTCTTTTTTCTTCGTGAATATTTAAATAAGATAACGATAATTTAAACTAATTATCTCTTTAATTATTATCTTTTACGTTTCTTTAATCTATTATTCTAAAAAAAATTTTTTTTATTATATATAATATTCTACTTTTGAAAATCATATTTAACATCTGGATTGAATTCTTAAAAAGTAAGCATATATGAAATAGAAGAATTTTTTAACTCATCAAACTAAAGATTTCTATCCAATTTTTTACTCAATTCGATTTGCAACTTAAGTTAATCCAAATTTGACTTTATGTCAAACTAATTTTTTCTTCCATAATAGAAACATCTATTTAAAGCCACTAAAGAAACTAAAGAGTCCAAAACTTTCATATCTTTAATTAATTTCCAAAATCCAACCATATCCATTCCAAACGAATCTTCTCCTAAAACAGTTTCATAGCTATTACAAAACTACTTATACCATAATTTGAGGTTACTATTATGTCTTAATAGCATATTTTAAATATTTAAATTTATCATTTGAACTTATTTATCATCCATATTCTGAGTTAAATCACTAATATCTATGATAAATTAATATGGGTTTACTTCTATTTCTTTCTTTTTTTGTATTTCCTTCAATAATGTTTCTTCTTTATTTTCTTAATTATATGTTATACTTTTCTTTTTTTATACAACTTATTCATTTTTTTTTACCTTCAAATTATTAATAGGTGAATCTATATTTAATTATTACATACTTACCTTACTCTAACTTTCTATTATCTTTAAAGGAATTTCATGTCTTATTAATTTATCAGCTTTATAGCATCCCTATATTATATTACCATTATCTTCTGTAAATATTGCAAAACCTTCTTTTAAATTATTTTACCATTCACCTTCATATTTGGAACCGTTTGCATAATAAAAAACACCACAACCGTGCCTTTAACCGTCTTTCCACTCTCCTTCATATCTATTTCTTAATAACTTTCCTTCTCCTTTCGGTTCTAACCATATGTGTGTACCAAAACCATTTTACATATTATTTTTCCATTATCCATAATATTTTTCACTTTATGTTAACCATATAATTATTCCGTATCTAATTTTTTATTAATTCTATATAAAAAAATTAATTAAAATAACCCATTTTTTAAATCATTTTGCCATTCCCCTTGATAATAATTCCCTGAAGGATAAATCATTTTTCCATTACCATGTTTAAATCCATTTTTAAATTAACCATTATAAGATGCACTTTTTTTTATTTAAACAAATATTTTTTTTTTATAATATAAACCCAGATCTAAATTTTATTTAGCCTTCTCCATGCCTTTATCCTTCAAACCATTATCCAATATAAATAGCTTCTCCATCCCCTGTTTTTAAAGTCCCTTAGCCATGTCTTAAACCATCTTTAACTTCTCCTTCATATTAAGAGTTGTCTGTCCATGTATATTTTCCAAAACCATTTATTGTATTATTTTGAAATTATCCTTGATAAACAACACCATTTGCCCATTTGAATATTCCAGTTCCTTATTTTTTATATTTTTTTATAGTTACTTTATAATATATATTTTATATAATACAAACCATTTATTATTCCATTATCTAAATTTCCTTCATAATAATTACCATTTTTAAATTTTATTTTTGATTAACCATGAAGCGATTTCCCATATAACTTTTTATTTTTAATTTAATATTAATTATATTTTTTATTTTTAAATAACTTGACCGGGCTTATCTATAATATTCAAATCAGCTTCATATTCCGAATAAATTACTTTTGTTAGTTCTACTGGTATTATTAAATTGTTAGGTTATTTTTCTAAATTAAAAATTTATTGCATAACTATTTTATTTTATAAATGTTTATTTAATTTATTTATGAATAATTTTAAAAAAATTATAATAATTGTTATATAATTTTGATTAATTTAGATTTTTTTATTTATCTTAATTTATTTATAATAAAGCATGTTTTAAATGCTTTATAATAATTATTTTTAGAAATCTTTAAATATTTATTTTAAAATAATAAAAATACAAAATGAAAAATAAAGTATTTAATGTAAGAAATATGTTTAATAATTTGAATTGTTATAAAAATAAAAAATTTAATAAAACTATAATTAGTATTAATATATATTTATTATAAAAAAATAAGTAAAATATATTTAATTAATATAATTAAATGAAAAAAAATAGTTAAAAAAAAATATAAGAAAAAAAATTTATAAATATTAAATAAATAGATATTATAAAGTTTAGTAAAAAAAAAAAAAATAGATTAAAAAAAAGATTGAAAATAATTTTTTTTAAAAAAAAATTCAAACAAATTTCAAACTTCTAATTTAAAAAAAATAAAGTTATATAAAATATTAAATAAAATATAAAAAAATTATATTTAGATTAAAAATAATAAATAAGTAATTATATACAAATAAAATAAAATAAAAAAAGTTAATTTAATAAATAATATAAAATAAAATTTGTATATTTTATATTATTAATTATAACAATTTATATAAATTTATATTAAAATTTATATTTATATTTATATTTATATTTATATATTTATATTTATATTTATATTTATTTTTATATTTATATTTTTACTAATTATTAAAGTAATTTTATTTTAAATTATAGTTTATAATCTAAATTATGTAAATATCAAGTAAATTTATTTTGATAAGTTTCAGCTATATTGATAAATTTTAATATTAGTATATTTTAAATTTGTATCTATGAATAAATTTTAATAATAGATTTTATAAATATTAATTTATAATATTAAAATAATTATATATACTATATAAAATTCTTTTAAATGAAATAATTGTAAAACTAAATATAATAAGCATAATTTGATTTAATTTCTTATTCTAATAAAGTTCCGAAAATTCTAAATTTTAACGAGATAATTTTAATTGATAATCATTAAGATTTAAATCTTGAAAATAAGGACTTTACAATGGGATATTCTATTTTTTTTAGATTAATTTATGTATAATATATAAAAATTATGTATTTAATGTACAAATATAAATTAAAATATAAAAAACCTTTAGAAATTCATAATTTACCTTAATTAACTTTTATTGAAGATTCAGTTTATTTATCTCATAAATATTTCAATTATTGCTAATAAAAAATAATATAATTATTTAATCCAAATAATATATATAATATGATTATTTGTGTTTTTAGAACATAATTTATAATATGTCATATAGTAATATGCTGTTCTATCTTATTAAAAATAATATATTCAATAGGAATTTAATAAACCATTCAATCTTTTCAATAAAATGAAGAAAAAAATACTGTTTTATGGTCTTTATTATTATATTTTTTAGTATTTATATTTTTAATATTTAATAATAGAGGATTGTATTTTGCTACAAAATTATCTGGTAAATATATAATATTTATTAATTTATTTAATTTTTATTTAGCTTAAATTAGAATGAGTTTAGTTTAGTTTCTCTATTAAAAAAACATAGACTTAACCTAAAATTAAATAAAAAAATCAAATATTGGGAAATTATTTGGATTAATATCTAATGATATTAACTATATTGAAGTTAACATTTTTTATGGATTCTATATACTTTATTTACCTATTTAATTTATTATATCAGCTATTATACTTTATTATAGATTTAATGCTTTTGGAATACTAAGTATTGCAATAATATTTATTATCTTACCTATTTAGTTATTTTTAGGATATAAATAAAAGAAAATTATTAGTTTAAAAAATATAATGACTGATAAAAGATTAGTAAATAAATATGTTATAATTTTTATGTATTATATGCAACATAAATAAAAATAAAAATAAAAGAATTTAATTAATGAATGTGTTTAAGGAATTAGATTAATTAAAATGTATGGTTGGGAATAAGTGTTTAGTTAAAGAATTGATTAAATAAGAATTTAAGAATTAAATTTAATTTTAAAATATAATCTTTATAGAATTTTAGATAAATGTGCTTCTGTTACACTTATTTTTCTAGGTATTTTTAAAATAAAATATTGAATACATAACTATTTTAGGTACGTTTATTCCTGTTTTAATAATTTATAATTAAGATTCTGAAATACTTTCTAGTTCTAAAATATATGCAACATTATAATAATTATATAGTACGAAAAATATGATAATTTTTACTGGATATGGTATAACTTTTTTGTAGCAACTATAAGTTATTTTAAAGAGATTTAATGATTTTTTAAACATTTCAAAATAAAAAACTTAATAATTAAAATAAAATTAAAACTATAGTGAAGAAATAAGGCAATTATAAATAAAAATAAAAGAAAAATAATAAAAAAATTAAAAATTAGCATAATAAGAAATAAATATATTATCCATTGAAAACAACAAATATATAGAAATTTCTTTGTAATAAGAAGAAAAAATATTTTTAAAATCAGATAAAAATAAAGTAAAGATTTAAAAAATAAATTTAGAAAATATATCTAAAATAAATTAAGAAGAAAAATTCTTAGAAAGTATTGAAGAAAATATAATTATTGAATTTAAAAATTTTTATTGCTTTTGGGATAAAAACAAGATGGCTTTAAAAAATATAAATTTAAAAATTTAAAAAGGAAATATTTATGCATTTATTGGAAAAGTAGGTAGTGGAAAAAGTAGTTTATTATTTTCTATTTTAGATGAAGTTCCTTACATTTAAGGAACTTTTAAAAAATAAGGTTCTATATCTTATGTAGAGCAAGAGCCTTATATATTTACTGGTAAGTTTAAGGATAATATATTGTTTGGAGAGCCTTATGACCATATTTTATATTAAAAAGTTTGCGAAATATGCTGTTTAGGATAAGATATTGAATCATTACCAGACGCAGATCAAACAGAAATAGGAGAAAAGGGAGTTACTTTAAGTGGCGGATAAAAAGCGAGGTTATCATTGGCTAGAGCCATTTATAAAAATAGTGATATTTATTTATTAGATGACCCATTAAGTGCAGTTGATACATTGGTGGCAAAAAAAATATTTTAGGATGCAATTTTAGGGTATTTAGGATAAAAAAAAACTGTACTTTTAGTCACCCATTAAATTTATTTTGCTTAAGAATGCGATTTTGTATATAGATTAGATAACGGAAATATTTTTTAAGAATTAGATTTTTAAAAATAAATCTAACATTCTTTAGGATAATAATAATAATAGTTAATTGCAAAAAAATAATGCGAGCAAAATAATGATAATAAAGAAACTATAAAAAAATTGTTAACAAACAAAAAATAAGAAAAAATTAATGTAAATTTCTAAACATATTACTAATATTTAAAATTTATAAATAATTATTCTTTAATTTTGATAACTTTCTTTTTATATGTTCTAAATGAGGCTTTATATACACTTTTTTATTAATTTCTTGGTTCCTATGATTAAGAAAAAGATAAAAAATATCTCTTTTACTCTTCAGGAACTATCCTTATTGCTTATTCAATAGTTAGCTTCTTAAAATATGCATTAAGTGCTTATTTAATAAATTTAGGAAATTATTCTTTACATAAAATAACTATAGAAAAACTAATAAATACACATACACATTATTTCGATTAGACACCCACAGGACAAATAATAAATAAATTTTCAAATGATATAGGAACAATGGATTTAATGTTTATATAAAACCTAATAGACAGTTTAGAAGCATTAATATAATTACTAAATATTGTTATAACCATATGCATATTTAACCCTTATATGTTAATTTTATTAATATTTACTTTGCTTTTATTATTTTATATATTTGGCTATGCAAAGTAAGTACTTGTTCCATGCAAATATTTTGATCTGCTTTCTAAAAGCCCTGTTTTTTCTTTTTTTTAATAGTCAATGGAAGGCATTATACACATCTAAATATATAATTAAAAATAAAATTTTATCAAAAAAATGAATATATTATGTAATAATTGTACTCGAGCTAATTATGCTTATTGGAGATTTGGACGAGCTTATACCTTTTATGTCTAATAATTTACTGCTTTTATAAGTTTTATAGGATATATAGTTAGTATTTATTTAATCAAAAATAGTCGAGAATTTGGATAAACTATAGTGTATTTAACTATGATTACTGAGATAGTTTTTGTTTTTAATTATACTAGTATTAATTTTTAATAAGTAATGTGTTCAGTTGAAAGGCTAATATAATTAATAAATTTAGAAAGTGAAGGCGAATACTATAAAAAGCAAGAAAATATTAATAAATAAATAAATGCTTCCTGGATTTAAAGAGGAGAAGTTATTTTTGACAATTTATTCATGAAATATCGAAAAGATCTACCAAACATACTTAATGGAATTTCATTTAATTTAAAACCAGGTGAAAAAGTAGCTTTTTTAGGTCGAACAGGTGCTGGAAAGTCTTCAATTTTATAAGCTTTATTTAGAATGTGTCCAGAAATGTCAGGAAATATATTTATTGATGGAATAAATACAAAAGATTTAGGATTACACACACTAAGAAATCATATTGGAATTATTCCATAGAATCCTTTTGTTTTTGATGGTACTATTCGTAGAAATATTGATCCTTTGGAAGAATTTTCTGATGAAGAAATATGGGATGCTATAAAAAAAACTGATTTACAAGAAGTTGTAAATAAATTAGAATTTGGATTAAATAGTTTAATCTAAAATTAACTTTCTGTAGGATAAAAATAACTTATTTGTTTGGCTAGAGTTATTGTTAAAAAAAGCAAATTACTAGTTTTGGATGAAGCTACTGCTAATTTGGATTTTAAAACAGACAATTTTATTTAATAAGCTTTAAAAATTTATTTCAAGGATAGAACTGTTATTACTATTGCTCATAGAATTAATACTATTGCTGATTATGATAAAGTATTTATTATTTCTGATGGATTAGTGGTTGAAAATGATAACCCTTTTTTACTTTTGGTAAATAATGTTAATGATAGTCATATTTCTAAATCAAGTTTATTTGCTAATATGGTCAAAAATACAGGAGACTTTAATGCTTAGGAAATATTTACTATTGCTAAAAATAAATATTTGAAAACAATATATAAATGAAAAAATATTAAATAATAGTATTTTGTATTCATAACTTTTAAATATTTTTTTTATAGGCATTAATTATATAGAATAATATAAATATAAATTATTTGATATTAAAAATTAATTTAAATTTTGTTATAAACATTTTATCATTTATCATTATATTACTTTATGTAATATAAGTTATATTTTATTTTCTCTTAATAAATTTTATGAAATGAGTTTATAAAAAATATTATTAAATCAACAAAATTAAAGTGCATTAATCTTAATTTATTAACATTGAAAAAAAAAATCATAAAAATTAATAAATATAAAAAAATATTTATATAATTTAAAAAAATGAGTGAATATTTAAGGCTTTAAAAATCAACTTAAATAAAGAAAAGTTCAGAACTTTTAGATTTATATAATTATAAATTAAATGCTGAAAAAAATCAAATAACCAAAAGTATAAATTTAAGTCATTAAATACATTATAATTAACCATAAATACATTAGTTAAAAAAATATGAAAGCAATAATAATTAAAAATAAGAAAATGAAGAATCTTTTGAAAATTAATAATCAGAAAAAAATAATTAGCAAAAAATAGATAAAATAAATACTGTTGATTTAATCATTAAAAAACAATATTAAAAAGCCTAGAATGATATAATATCTTAATCTTAATTATAATTCCCTTATAAAACTTAAGATAAAAAGTAATATATTTAATAGTAAAAGAAATATACTTAACCTCCTTCAAACGAAGATGAAGATTCTTTAATAAATAATGATTATTTAAAATAATAATATAATAACAAAAATTAAAAAGACTCAATAAATTAATATGGAATTAGGCCTAGTTAATAAAAAAAATATTATTATCCTGAAAAAATAAATGATTAATCATCCTATTAAAATTCAAAATTATATAAAAATGATCATTAATATGTTAAAATATCCGAATTCGGACAAAAAGATAATTAATAAGATTTAAAAACCAATAAAGAAATTTTAAGTAAATGTTTTCTTGAAGAATTAAAATTAGAAAGCAAAATCTAAAAAAATAGTATTTTTTATGAAAAATAAATAAAAGTAAATAATGAAATAATCTAAGAATTTTATAGAAAATTTATATTTAATAATGAATTTGGGGATTATAAATAAAATATATAAAAATATTAATTCGAAAACAATGAAATATATGAAGGATTAATAAAGAATTAATAAATTGAAGGAGTTGGAATATATAAGTTGACTAAAAAAAAATTATTATATAACTTTATAAAAAAAATTAATTTAAAATAAAAGATTTTCAAATGGTGACTTTTATGCAGGAGAATGGAAAAATAATTTATTTAATGGGTATGGAATTTACATTTCTTATAATGGAGAAATTTATGAAGGATTTTTTTCAAATAACTATAAATAAGGAAATGGTAAATACATTTATTGTAATGGAAGTTATTATAGTGGGGAATGGGAAAATAATCAAAAACATGGGCAAGGGATTTATTTTAAGTCTTCTAATTAATATACATATTAAGGGCAATTTATTAATGGATATTTGGAAGGCTTTGGATTAATCGAAAATTAGGATGGAGAAATAATATTTAAGGGTATATTTAAAAAAAGTTAACCGTAAATAAATTAATGAAATTTTTGTTAGTAAAAAAACTTAAAAATATAATAATTTTATTTTTTATAATGAAAAAATAATTTTCATTTAAATTTATATATTACTAATTATATATATATATATAATTTCTCATTTTAAGATAAAAATATTTTAATAAGGAAATTTTTCAGCTCAAAAAATTTAATTTGAATTAAATATCATCCTTTTTTTTTTTAAATATTAATATATTTATATAAATAAAATAATAAAAAATTACATTATTTATCTTTAGATTAGTTATAACCATTCCAAGACTTATCAAGTAATCTTTTTTTATATGTTTCGCCTATAAATTCATAAGGCCCAAAAATATAATCAATCTTAGGTATGGCATCTACAGTAACTTAACAAACATTTTTCGCAGTATCAACTTAATTTTTCACCAAAGTTGTGGCATCACCACCTACAATATCTTAAACTGCGCTTTTAACATTAGTAATAGATCCCGAACCAAGTTTTTTAGCCTCTTATATAGCTTTTTCTTTTGCAGAATTAGTAGCGGAATTAACAATGTTTTAAGCTTTATTAGCGGAATTAACAACTTTTTAAACTTTATTAGCGGCATTAGCACCTTTTTAATTTTTATTTGCGGAAGAAGCAGCTGAACCTGCAGTTTCTAGAGCTTTAGTTTTTTTAGCACTAGTTCCTAAATAACGTTTATTATTTTTCCCACAAATTTTGTTTTCTTTTTAAAGACTAAGATTTAAATATGCTCCTATTTTAAATGCATAAGGACTAAAACTACCATCAACATAAACTTAACCAGCGAATTTTTCCAAAACTTTGAGCCCTAAGCCAACCTATACTTATGTATTTAAAAATGTTCCTTCTGCTGTTCCACCTACTTCTCCTATTGAAATACCAAAAGAAATATTACCACTTACACTTACTTTAGTATTTACTCCAGCTTTGAAGTCTAATAAGCCATTTTTAAATGATACTCCGGTGTTAAATGAGACTTCCCATTAAGCATTTAAAACCAATTTGAATTTTGCAATTTTTCCATTATATGTAAACGCATAATCTACTGGAATTTTACGAGCTATATTTTTATATTTTTTTTATAATATATATTTTTTTTTTATTTATTTTACTTTATGAAGGGAATGACTTTGAGAATTCCAATTTGCTAATAATTTCTTTTATTAATTTTTAGATTAATCCTCCTGAATTTTCGGTTTATTATTCAACTTGATTTTTAAAATTACTTACATTGTTAATTACTTCAGCAAGCCCTTCAGTTTAAAAGTTAGATGCTACATCTTAAACTTATCCGAAAACGGTTCCAAAATCCAATTTATTAATATCAATACTTCCATCAAGTTGCCTTTAAGTTTCTTAAAATAATAGTCTTCCTTTTTATTCAGATGAAAGAGCAATTTTCTTTTTGAATTGATTTTCAAAAAATTCTTTAGCTTCGTCAGCTCTACTTTTTATATTACTCCACAAAGTTTATCCTTCCATTTTCACATTATTAAATGCTAGCTTAACTCTATCCCAATATTTAAAAGTAGATAATCCCATTTCTTTAATTTATTCAATAAAACCCATAAATTTACTGGGTATAAGTTTTAGTCTGTCAAAAATAGTAAGTACTTATGTAAATTCAAATTCTACACTTTTAATGAATTAACTACTTATAACACTTAAGTAAATATTGGTTCTTTATAATAACTAGGGTCATTAGGAGGAAATTTAGGTTTAGTAGCGAAATTTTTTATTTCTTCAAAAATACCCTTTATCTCATCCCATAAATCTTTAGATAATTTAACAAGCTAGTCTTTCCAATCAAAAATATTTTGTTTCATATTTAAACCCATTGTTTTTATTTTATTTAAAACTGACAAGGCTTTTTCTTTTAAAGTTTTAGCAATTTCTTTAGGATAACTAACCAATTTAGATGTAAATGTTTTTACACTATCTAATATTTCTTTTTATTGTATTTTTTTAAACGAATTTACTATATAAGTTATATCTTTTTTCAAATCTTTAATACCTGAATAAAAATCATGAGCAAAATCGACAATTTCATTCGCTTCTTTTAAAATTTAGTCAAGTTCTAAAGATTAAAGTCCTTAGTTTTTTGTACTTATATTTTAAAGTTCACTTAAAATTTAGTTTTTACCAAGATTAATAGCACTTTATAAACCTTTTTGAAGAAGCTCAGATATTTTATATTAAGAGGTGATTTTTTTAATTAAATTTTTTATAAAATCCTTTAATTTATCCACTACAAAAGATGTTGAAAGCATTTTTTTCATTTGCTTTGTAATCTTTGATTACTTTTCGATAAATTCTTTTGTTTCTAATAATTTATCTTCAGATTTTTGAATTATTTCCTCTGCATATTTATCTACTTATTTATCTATTTATAATGTATTTTCAAATAGTTCGTTTGCTTTTTATAAAATAAAAGATTCTGTACTTTATAATAATTTCTTTATAGGTTCCTCTAGTATTTAGGCTATAATAACTTAATAATTTTGCATAAAAAGCTAGATTTTTTCTTTTATTTTTTATGAAATTCCATTTACACGATTTTTTACTAAAAAATTTTTAATTCTTGATAATTTATCTGTAAAAAATTTTTTTATATTTTTTATTTAATCTTCTATTTAGATTCCTTTACTACTCAAAAAAGCAAAAACTTTTTCTTTGAAAAATCCTAAAGGGTCTTTTACAAAGCCATTAATACTTTTTATTGACTAAATTAAATATTTTTAAAAAAATAAATAAATTATATATTTTTTTACTTTATTAATTGTTTATTCAAAGCCATTAATAGAATCCATAATTTCAAATTAATCATTTTATATTGCATCATTAATAACCTTTAAAACAGGGTTTTTATTAATATCAAGAAGAAGTTCTAATTAATCTAAAATAGCATTTACCTTCTAAACTATTCCATCTAATTTTGAATTAACATATTTTTCTACTGAACCCATTTTTTCTACAAGGACATGTTAAATATACCAATTAAGTTTAAGTAATCTTGAAACATTTATTTTAGCTATTTTTTATTATTTTATTTAAAAAAAAAGTATATATATATACTTTATCTTTCAATAATTTTTGTCATAGATCCATTAAAATATCCATATAATCCAACAGTACAAACATCTTCAGAGCTATAAAATCCAGATTCAATACATTCAGATTTAATATCAGCCCCGAAGTCTATTGATTCAAAGTTTTTTCTAAAAATGCTTTATTAAATAACTTCTCCCATAGGTTTAGGCTCTTAAAAATTATCATTGTTTTTCGGTTATTCTTCAAACACTAAATTTCTATTTTCATCTATTCCAACCAAAACCCTTCCTTTACTATCATCAGAAATAACTGAATTAGGATTCTCTTTAGGTTTTAAGTATGATTTCGCTCTTTTATCCAAAACTTATTATTTAGTCATTATAAAGTAGCTCATTTTCTATTATATTTAAATTAAATTTTAAACAAAAGTTTCATCTACTTTATGCTCCCAATCTATATATTAAATAATAACAGCAGAAATATTATCAATTTGTTTAAACATTGATGTGCTATCCTCTTAATTTCCTTTTATAGTAAACTTTGAACTTACAGAACTTCTTAATAATGATCCATTTTCTATAGTACATTCTTGAGAATATTCACCTTATTAATTTCCATTTTCACTTACTTCAGGTTCTGTAGATTTTAAAACTCCTTTTCCATCATCCGAAATTTCAGCTTCATGTTATGGAGTTACTTCTACATTATTTAAATTTCTATATTTATAAGATTCACTTGCATTTTTCAAAATACGTTTTTTTCCTGTTTCCTTGTCTGTTTCGAAGATATTGTATAAATCCTTACGCAATAAAGGAGAAAGTTATTCAATAATATTTAAATAGATTTATTATAAATCATTTCTTAAGTTTATTGGTTCGTATATTTTTTTTATCTCTCCTTCTTTACTTAAAGTAAAACGAACAATAGGATATTTACTAAAATTAAATTATTCTTCACTAATACCTTTTTCTTACAATAATTTAATTTCTTATGCAGTCAAAGGTGCATATTCATTTACTTATTTAGAAGTATCATCCTATGTTTGCTAAGATTTTTATACATTATCTTCTATGTTTCTTATATTATTTGCTTTTTCTTTCTCTAATATAGCAGGATAACCAGTTAATGTAGATTATACTTAATCGTTTTCAGAAATAACAGTAGACGTAAAATATAAATACATATCAAATTCAATATTAGATATTTGATAACATAAATAATTAAAAGTATGTGTAATAACAGATTTTTTAGAAGTAACCTTTCCGTCCCCGGTAGTAGTAATTTATTCATTTTCTAACTTATATTCATAGATTTTTTAAGATAAAGGGACCTAAATTAATTATAAAATATTCTTTTCTTAACCTATATTAATTTATTATTCGAATTTCACATATGACTCAGGAAGTTTTACTTACTTATTATAATTCATCTTTTCTACTATTGATTATGAAGAAAATACTCCTCCAATGGCTAATCCTCCGAAAATTAATCCTATAGCAATTAGAATTCCTACAGATGATAATATTATCACTTTTTTACGATTTCCTTATTTTACTTCTATTAAATTAGAATTGCTTTTTTCTGAAAAACCATTTTTCAATTCTTTATTTTTTTATTTTTTTTTATTTTTTTATTTATTTTATAAATATTTTTACATTAATTCTCTTGTTCACCTAACATTACTGGATGATCAACAATTTTATTTATCTGTTTCTATGGAAGAAGATCATTTTTAATTTTATGATCTTAGCTTTAGCTTGGATCTTGACTCTGATCATCAAGAAACTAAGCATTTGATTTAGGTAATATTGCTTCTCTGTTTACTATGCTTTCAAGATTTTTATCTAAATGCATATTTTTTTGTATTATTTAATTATTATTTTAAGTAATTTTTATTTAATATTAAATTATATTATCAGTTTATTTTTATTAATAAAATTTTTATATAATAATTTTATTTAATAACCAATAAATAAATGGTACTACTAATAAATATATTCTATTTATAAAAAAGTACAAAATAAAGAAAATATATAAAAAAAAATATATATCAGAAATTTTAATATATAAATTTAATTTTTTAATAAATATTTTATATATAAGTTTTTAATAAAATCAGATTTATTATACATTTAGCATATGTATAACATATTAATATATTGATAAAAATACATAATTAGCTCTTAATGTTTTTTTATTTTTTCTGTAATATTTTTTTTAAAATTCAATTAATTAATAAAAAATATAGGTTGAAAATACAGAATTGGTCATTTTTATTAAGATTTAAAATAAAAATAAAAAATTAAATAAGAAAAAGTAATATTTATTTTTATTTTTAAATACTAAATTACATAAATAAAATTTTCATTATTTTTAAAGACAATAAAATAAAATATAAGCATTTTTATTATTTAAAATTTTATCTTAATTTTATAGTTTTTAAACATCATCATCATTAAATTAATACCATTAATTTTCAAATTTACACTAAGCAATATAATGTCCATTATCTATAGTACCTTCATGAATAATAATCCCATACAATTCGTAGATTAATTAATTTTCTTTCAAACATTCTACATAAGGAGAACTTTAACTGCAGAATTTAGAAAAGTCAAGGATATGATTATATAAAACTAACTAATTATTTTTTTCTTTATTGTTGAATCTTTTCAAATGAAAAACTAAATTATTTGGAGTATTTTAAAAGCACAAAGTTTTAAAAGCAATTTACATTTTTTGACATTTTAAACAAAACCACATATTATTTTCATTTAATTTTTCAGTTTTTGTAAATTCCTCTAAACAATATTAAATTGAAGGAATTTTTTATTTTTTAACTTCTTAATTCGATATACTTACATCAATCAATTATATGTCTTTTATTTCTTTAGGAGCATTATTTTCAATATTCCAAAAGAATTCTAATTCAAAAAAGGTAATATCTTTCCCTCTTTCATTTAAATATTTTTCTAAAGATTTTTAATTTAAAAAAGGAAATAAACAATTTTAACAATTATCTTTTTTGCAAAAAATACATATACTTTACCCTTTTTAATTTTTTGATTTTTTTGATTTTATGCATATCATAAATGGGAAACATTTTTTTAACTATTACTATAATTCTTCATTTATTTATTCTTCTTCTGTTTCTTAAAAATTTGTTTGTTATAGACAATTTTATATTTTTTAATTATTTTATTATTATTTTTAACTTTTGTTTTATTATTTTTCATTATTAATTAAATTTTGTGGCTGCTATTTAATATTTTGTTTTTTTTAATTATTAAAATAATTATTTAATTAATCTTTTTAGATTATTTTATTCGTTGTATTTTAATTAATTTATTATATATTACTATTATTTTATTTTTCTTTCAAACTATTATTTTCCTAAATATTGTTTTATGATTTTATGTTATTTTAAGCTTCTTTTAATATATTATCCTAATCGTTTTAGTTATCTGTTTAGTAAATAATTTATTGATAATAATTATTCAAAATTACCAAATATTATTCATAAATATCCCCAAAGACTTAATAAGCTTTTAAATAAATTTAAGACAAATTATCTTTAGTGTTAACTAATAGAATTCTTGGACATGAGAATATTTTTTTTTATTCCAATTACATAAAACCAGTATTAATTTTACTCATTTTAGCAATTTTGAAAGTAATTATTTTAAAATTATTATTTTATTAATCAAGCAAAAGATTCAAATCAAAATTACATTCATACAATACTAATTAGGTATTATTTATGTGTTAAAAAATATGTTCAATTTCTGCAAAAGGAGCATTTAACTTTTCTCCATAAAAATGATTAATAAACTATTCTTATTGAAAAACACTAAAAATAACATTAGTGAAATTATATTAATCACATATTATACTAACTAAATCAATTAATTTAGTATTTTCTGATATATAATTTAAAATTATGCTAGATGTTTGCTTATATATATCAGCGAAAACGATATTTATATGCACTTGCTTTTATAAAGGCTTTGCTTTTATTGGCAATTATACCATCAAAAAAGGTTCATACATTTAAGAAGAAGAATCACATAATTCGCATTAGATAATACTTTTGTATAAACCTAAAAATGTTTGCTTTATTACTGTATTGTATTATTTTGAAACTGCGTTTTCCCATATTTAATCATTTGTTTATTTATATTCTTCTTCTTATCCTAATGTATTATTTAAGGCATCTAATAAATTTAAAAAAAATTCAGCTGCATCATGTTAATAGTTACCTTAATACTTAATCATATAAATATATAATAATTATATTTATTATTTTTTTACTTGATTAAATAAATAAGCAAACTATGTTTTAAAAGACCAAATTTCAATAATTTTATCTTTCTCAATACTAATTTCTTTAAATAATTTAACAAACTTTTAAAGAAGCTTATTCTTAAGACAGTCTTTTGAATTTTCCATAATCGTATTAAAAGTGAATTTCTATGAAAAATCAACTGAAAAATATAGATTTTATAAGCAAGCTGCCATAAAACAAGTGTTACCAATATTTCTTAATCCACATATGCCTTTAATTTATACAGGTATAGCATTCATTTCTTCATCACTTTCCGATTCAGCAGCTAAATCACACATTTTAGAATGAAAATCTTAATCTTGGTATTTACAATTTCTACTGCAATAAAAAACGTTTCTACATTAGCAAACAAACGAAAAATTATATCCTACACTTTAGCAATTTTCACATATCATTTTGTCTTTTTCTTCACTAAAGTTTTATAAAGGAGCACTTTCTAATTTGAAAATGTTTCCAACTTCAATAAGAATAGTATAAGAGTTTTTTAGAAAATCTCTAGTTAATAAATTATTAGGAAATCCTTCTAATTTTTTTCCTTTTATATTATACTTTTTTTATTTTATAGATTTGCATAACAAAAATATATAATCTTCTTAATAATTATTGTCTATTTTCCATATTCTTAAATCTTCCACTTTTAATTCTTCTAAAAAAAGCTATTTTAATTCTTCTAAAGTTATATAAGATGGGATTTAGCATTTTTTTGTATTTAAAATATTGTTTTAGTGTTTCAATTGCAAATCAGATAACTAAAATATTATTTTTTCCAATGTTTCTATTTCGAATATAATTATATTTGGACATAAAAGTTCTACATTATATATTATGTGTTTCTAATATTTAAATATTGGCCTTTTTATTTCGCTTGATTATGGATATTATTATTATATAAATTCCCATGTTTCTTTATCGATTATTTTTGCTTATTTCATTAATTATTTATTTACATAAGTATTCAAATATTCATTTTAGTAAAGCTTAAATATGAATTTTTTAGTTTCTTATTATATTAAATCGCTATTAGGAGTTTCAGAAGGCTTTTAAAACCCTATTTCATATTCAACTTCTTTATTATTAGAATTTAAATATTAATTATACCATGTTCGAGATAAAATATAACAAAATTTTGAGTTTTATAAGTTTTCTTCAACTTTTTAGAGTAATTATTCGAAATTTGTGACCATATTTGGTTAAATTTGATTATTTTTCGTAGTTAATTTTAATTTTTATATGTTTTTGATTTGGTTAAAATTCTTTTTCTTTTATTTCTTATATAATTTAGAAAATAAAAAATAAAATATTTAGCTTTTTTTTATTTTTGTTTTAGTAATAATTTATATATTTTTTTTAAATAAATTTAATTTTTTATTTACTATTTATTCATAAATTATATTAATATTATTTTTTTTCTATTTATATTATAAAATTTAAAAAGTATATAAAATTATTGAAAAAAATTTTATAAAAATTTGATTTATTTTTTTATTAATTATTTTAAAAATTAATTAAAAATAGAAAATTTCTTTATAATAATTTGTTTAATTTAATTACTTGATAATAGAAAAATAATCAATTTTTTAAAAAAATGCAAATACCTTTATAATTATAAATATGGTATTTAAGTAACAAATTAGAAAACCAAAATGAATAAAAATATAATTTATTAAACTTTAAATATAATAAAAAAAATGATTTAAAATGATTTTTTTAAAATTCTAAAATATATGTTTTTCATCTATTTTATATTTTTTTATATTATTTAGGTTTTAATTCGTATGCAAACTCTTTTAAATTTACTGAACCACTATTTTTTCTATCAAATCTTTAAAATAAGCCTTCCATCTCATAATTTGTAACATAAATACCGTTTTCTTTCATCCATTACAAAAACTCTTAGCGAGTAAAAGATTACCTATTATTTTAATCTATATCTTAGAAAGCATCTTCTATTTTTATTTCTTTTTTCTTCAATTCATATCTATAATGTTACATAGCAGATTCTTAGCTTAGTATAGATTTAAATAATTTAATTATATATTGTTTTGTAAGTTAATTCATGTACTAATTATTTAATATAATAAATAATGAATATATATTTTTTAACGTTATATGAAATTTTTTTGTCTTAAAATATATGATCATAAATATTATCTTTTCTATAAGGTTTTATCATGTTTATAAATTCCTAAAGACTATATTTATATAAAAATTAAAAACAAATTTGCATTTTTTTTTAATTTAAAAAATACCCAATTTAATCATTTCCATCTTAAGAATATCTATTTAAGGTTAAAAAAATGTCAAGAGAATCAGCTTTAATATCTAATTTTTTTAAACCACTTTCAAATTCAAAAGGTTAAATTTCATTAATTTAATCATTATCAAATAAAAAATACAATTAAATAATTGAAAAATCATTTTACCGGGCTAAGTTTTATCTAATATTTTCCAATTCTCTTTCATATATTATATTTTCTTATAAAACAAATAATAATTCTTTTTTTGCTATATTTTCTTAATGTTCTCTGAAAACAGTTTTTAGTTCAGATTCTCGACTTTATTTTTCTAATTCAGAACTATAACAATAATAATCTAAAAAAGATAATGTTTTTTCTAAATCTTAATTTTTTTCAAATACACTACTTAAATTTTATACAATTTCATTTTTTTCTTATTAAAACCTATACTTTTTATCATAAGTTGTGTTATCTGAACCTTATTTATATATAGTATAACTACTTCTATATGTTCGAGGAGGTTTATTATCTAAAAAAACTATATTTGATTTTAGCATATCAGTTTATTTATCATAGCCTATACATGAAATTTGATTTTATATGTTATACAATTATGATTTTTTAGGATATTCTGTATAAGGATAGCCTTCGTAATATTTATTATAATAATATGGATATTCTTCAAAAGGCTTAACTGTTTTGGGAAGATAACTATTTTCTTTTGGATTCGTGTAATCAAAAGAAATATAATTCATTTTTTCTAATATATGCTATGTTTTTATTTTAAAATATTTAAAAAGTTAGTCTTTATTTTATTTATTAATAGAAATTTTAGTAATTAGTTTATATATATATTTATATTTTTTTTATTTGTTTATAAAAATAAATAATTTATTATTAATAAAAGAAAATAATTAAAATCCTAAAATTTAAATTAATAAAAAATATGAATATTCAAAATACACAAATATTAAACAAAAACTTGACACAAAGTTAAATTATAGTGAAATAATAAAATAGACTAAAACAGTTTAAGTTAGAAAATAATATATCTAGTAAATTCTCATTTTAATATTGTTAGTTTTTGAATTTAATTACATTATATTTAACCTAAAACTAAAAGGATAAAAAAATTTAGATAATTGAAGAAATAAAAGCAAACTTCAAAAAGTTTATTTGTTTAAAACATAAAGATATTTAATAATTATTTGATTAAGCAGTAGCATAACTTTTATATTTAACAAATCTTTATTATCAATCAGAGGATGTTAATGAAAAAAATATATCAGTATTTTTGATGAAAGTACTTTATATTTTAAAATATGTTTAAATATTTAATTGCTTATAAACAAATAATATATAATAATTTAATTATTAAAAATGTAGTAATAAAATTCTTTAAATAAATAATAATCAAGATAAATATACCTTATTTATTAGTTTTATTTTAGATATTTTTTTGTTTTTTTTAAATAAAATATAGATATTATAATTATTTATTTATGTCTATTAATTTTTTTTTTATATATATAAGATTTGGATTTTAGAATTTCAGCAGAACGATTAATTTTTTGAACAAATAATATCAAGCTTTGAAGACAGTGAAATATGTAGAAATTTGTCAATATAATTTTTATAAGAATGTTCAGCTAAAAATCCTAATTTTTTGATTAAAGTTATTAAAATTTTAGAAAATATTACAAATTAATTGTATGATTAAGAATAAATTTTAACTTAAAAAAATAAAATTCTTTCTTAAGAAAGCATTTTTGAATATATTTTAGAAATAATAAAACTAAAAAATGTAAAAAATTTTGATTTATAGTAACATTTAATTACATTAGTTTAAAAAATATAAATATAAAAGAATAACTTTCATGAATATTTAATAAATAACTTTTTAAATATTGAAAGCAACTTCGAAAAACTTAATTAAGTATGCATTGAATTGATATAAAAAGGTATATTCATTATATAAATAATATATATAGTAAATATTTTTTTGTATTAAAATAAAATAAAGGTTTAGAATCATCATAAATAGATATTGCTTTAAAATATTTACATATATTAGAGAGTACAATTGAAAAAGGCAAAGAAAAAAAGCAATAATTATAAAACTAATTTATCAGCTAATTATTCTTTTATAGAAAATATTCAGAAAAACAATAACAATACTTTAATTCTTTAGAAGGACAAGAAAAATTGAAATAAAATATTGACCAAACTCTTTTGTATTTGGCTAAAAAATTATTTGAAGAGCAAGATGAGAATACAAGAATAGAATTAGCAATTTAAAACATGAAAGAGATATTTGAAAAAACAATTGAAGTAGATTTATAAAAGTAAATGAGAACAAATAGAATAATATAAAGAATTCTATAATCAATATTATGTGTTTATTTAAGCAAGAAAAATCATTATTAAATAAAGGAACTTTATACAACATTTGTGGAAAAAATAGATAATTTGAATAAGTTTAAAACTTAAGTTTAGAATATATTTAGATTAACATGGAAGAATTTAAAAAATTTAGACGAAAATAAAATTCAGGAACATTTTCTTTCTTAATTTAAAATTGATTATAATTAATTATATCTAGAATTACTAAATGAAAAAAATTTTTTGGCTTCAGCAGCTTATATAATGTTTATATTTAACAAAAGAAAGCTTAACGAATAAATTCTAAATAAATTTCATTAAATCAATTAAATAACTGATGATTCTTTTCTTAATTTAAACCTTAAAGTTATTTAAAGTTTTGTTTCTATAATTGAAAAAAATGATGCTATTTCAATTGTATAACCTTTAATTCATCTTTTTGCTAAGAAAAAAACACTTTTGAAAGGACTTGAAACTGTTCTAGGATAATAATACGTTTACGATTAAATAAAAAACATTTCAAACATTGATAATGATGTTATTAATTATTTTGAACAAAGCTAATAAAATAAGTTAATTTAATTCAATTATTTACCTTTTGATGAAAGAACAAATTTCTATTTGTAATAAAAAGCATTTTCAGACGAAAATATAAACATTAAATAACCAAACTTAACTATAAATGAATAAAATAAATTAAAAGAAATATAGAAATCATAATAACCAAACATTAATAATGTTCATTAAAAAATAGACACAGAAGATACTAATAAAAATTAAATTAGTATCTAAAAATAAATAATTTAAGAAAAGCCCATTAAACCGTCAATAAAACTTAATAATGTAAAAAAATAAATTGAAAAGTAATAAAATACAATTTAATAAACTAATTAGGCTAATAGTTAATGTTGCATAAAAGAAGATATCTAAAAATCTGTTTAGGAAAATGAACAATAAATAATATAGGATAATACAATGAAAATAACATAGCAAACTTAATAAAAAAATGTTCAGGAAAATATTTAAAAAATAGTTTAGTAAAATGGACTAAAAAATATTTAAGAATAATAAGCAAATTTAAATTAATATAATAAACCATAAGTCAATATTTAGTAAACTAAGCAAGTTACTTTAGAATAAAGCCAAAAATAAATTGATAATAGGGCTGAAAATATTGATGCTTTTAAGAATAATATTGAAGATTAAAAAAAAAAAATACCTGTAATTTTTTAAGTTGACTTAAAAAAAGATTAAGAAATTACATAAAAAGCAGTAGAGTAACCAATTTAGTAATAAGAAATTTAAAATTAAATAAATTTAGAAAATTAAAATCAAGAAAAAAAAGTTTTTGATTAACAAAACGAAGTTTAAGATAATTATACGTATAAATAATAAGATAACACAATTATAATAAATTAAAATGAGATCAAGTAAAAAGAATAGGAAATTTAAATAAAAAAAGTTGAAGAAATTAAAGAAAAGTTTGAAAATTAAATTAAAGAAGTATCATAAATGGAAATCGAAAATAATAATTAAAAATAAACAGAAATACAATAAGTAGAAAATTAACTAAACTAAGAAAAAGGAGTATAATTTTAATAATCTATATCTTCTAAACCTAAATTAAAATTTGAATTGAAAAGATAATAAAAGGTAACTTAATAATTAGAGTAGATTAATTAGGTTACAGATATTAATGAAACAAAATAAATATAAGAATAGCTTTTAGTTTAAAAAGAAAATAAGGAAAATAATTTAAAATAGGGTTTATAAATTGATGATTAGAAAAATAATTAATAAAATTAAAAATAATTAAATTCTGTTAATGCATTATAATAAGAATAAAATAATAATTTAATTTAAAACAATATCATAAATATTAAATAAGAAATTTTAAGTCAATAAGAATAAGAAAATCAACCTAAAAAAAAAGTATAATTGAACTTATCGAAAGTAAATTAATAAATTCAAAACAACTAATAATAAATAAGCCAATAGCCATAAGATAAATAAGTATAATAAAAATAAGAACAAAATAAATAATAATAACAGTAAATAATTTAAAAAAGCTAAATACATCAAGATTAATAATAAAATTAGTAATAAAAATCAAAATAATAATAATAAACTTTATAATAAAATTAATAAAAAATTTAATAATTATAAAAATAAAAAGATGTTTAATAATAAAACTAATAAAATTAATAATAAGCGTAATAAATAGGCATTTAATTACAATAACTAAATAATTAAGATAAAAAAATATAGCCTTTGTAATTAAAATAAATATAATAATAATAGCAATAATAGCAATAATAATAAAATTAATAAATAAATTTAGAAACTTAAAATAAATAAAATAGCCAAATATAATAACTAACAAAAGTTGTTAATTAATAAATTATAAAAAAAACGCCTTAGATATAAAAGCCTTTGATAGCGAATGTCTAAAAGCACGAAATTAGTAATTAATAATAAACATTAACATTAAATTTAAATACAAATATTTAACCTTTATCAGTCTAAACTAATTAAAAATATAAAGAAAAAGAATAAGATTTAGCAAATTAAAATAAAGTAAAGAGTTTAATTAATCCTCTAAACTAATAAAAATAATTAAATTAATAAAATATATAAAAAAACATAATTTAAACTTAATAAATTAATACTTAAAATTAATAAAAATAACAATTAAATTAACTAAATTTGTAAATGTAAAATTAAAATTAAAATAACAGTATATAAAAATTAAAATAAAATTAATTTACTGAAATCAATAATTAAAATATGAAAAATTAATTAAAAACATTAAAAGAATAAGGAAATGTAAAAAAAGAATAAAATTTTGAATTAGCTTAAAATACCCGTAAAAATTATGATATTTAATAGTATGTTAATATTTAAATTCAAGATAATCTAAATGAATAAATAACTTAAAACAAAATAAACTAAACATAATAAAGAATTCAATAAATTTTCAATGAATAAGAAAATTAATAATAAATGAATTAAGAAGAAGAAAACAATTTAATTTAAGAAATTTTAAATGAAGAATAGTCAAATGATAAAGGAAACTAAAAATAATAAGACAAATAAGAAAAATAAATATAAGAAGAAAATTAAAATTTAATAGAAGAAGAAAATTAATAATAAATAGAATAAAACGAAAATTAATATGAGATAGATGAGGAAACTTAATAAAAAACATAAAACAAAAATATTTAATATAATAAATTATAAACAAACGATTTAAAAAATAAAGAGCTAAATCAAGATAATTAAGTAATTTAATAAAAAAATCAGTAATACTACTATTAGGATTAAAATAATATTTAAAATTAATAATAGTTATAAGGAAATATTAAATATTTAGAATAAATTGAAAAAAAATAAGAAAATAATATTGATGTGTTATTATAATACGAAAAAAAATTAGAAAATAATATTGATGAGCGATAATATGAAGAAGAAAATTAAAATGATAATAAATTTAAATAAGAAAAAAAAAATAATGAAGAGGAAAAGCAAAATTTTAAAAATATGGAAGATTATTAAGAATAGAAATAATAAATGTAATAAAATTTATAAAATGAAAATAACTACGAATAGATATTAAATGAAAATAATTATTTAAAAAAAGAAAATAATATTTAAGAAGAAATCAATGATTTAGAAGAAAACAATAATTTAGAATAAGAAAATAATTTGGAGCAAAATAATATTTTAGAATAAAATAATTTGGAAGTAAATATATAAGGATATAATATTTAAGAAGGTGAAAATATTTAAAATGAAGAAGAAAATATTTAAAATGAAGAAGAAAGTTACTAAGAAGATAATTATTATTAAGAATAATAAGAGCATTATAGTTTAATTGAAAAAAATATTTAAAAAATATAAGTATCAAATGTTTAATTTTCATAATAACAATAAGAAGAAGAAATATAAATAGAGAATTACTTAGAAGAAGATAATATTCAATAATAAATTTATTTGAATAATGATGATAATTAGGAAATAAATTAAGTATAGATTGGAAGTAATTTGAATAATAATGATGATAAAGTAAATATAAGTGAATAAAAATTAGATTATGAAGACGAAAATTTATAACCTTTTGAATAACAAGTCGATAAATTGTCTTAAGATATTTAATAATAATATAATTAAAATATTTTGTAGGAAATAGATTGTCAATAAGAAGATGATGAAATTTAAGAAAAGTAACAATTCGATATTTAAGAAAATTAATAAGATTAATATTAAGATAATTAATATTAAAATAATTATTAATATTAAGAAAATTAAGTATAAAATGGTGATTAAAATAATCAAATTTAAATTTAAGAAGGCATTTATCTATTAAAAAATGTAGAATGAATATATTAACATATTATAATATAAAAATTTAGTAAAAAAACATACTTATTTTTATAAAAATATATTTAAATATAATACACAAATAAAAATTTATAGTGAGAATTTATACTTTTATTATATTTAATAACGGTCATATATTTATAATATTTAATAATATTAATTCTTATTTTTTTTGTTTATAAATTAAAATTATCTAATTTTTGTATTTAATAATTGCAAATTATTTTATAGTTTGTATATTTTAATATTTAAAAATAAAACTTAAACAATAAGTTTTTAAAATAAAATAAAAAATAAATAAATTAAATTTAAATTATTATTATATTTATTTAAAAAAGTTAAATTTTTTTATACATTACCTATAAATTAAAAATATTTAATAAAAAAATAATGTTTATACTTTAATAATCTAATAATTTTTTTTTTAATTAAAAAAAATAAAGAAAAAAAATATTAATTTTCAATAATAATTTTATATTTTATTTAATATTATTTTTTTCTTTATAATATATATTCAGATTTATTTTTTAAATAAAAAAATGATGAAATATGAATTTTAAAAAAAAATTATAAAAATTATTTAAATATTATATTTAATGTTACAACTTTTTTTAAAAAGATAAATAAAAAATATCAGAAGAAAAAAAATTATTATTTTATATTCTTCTGAAATAATTATAAGTTTTAAAAAATCATTTGCTTCATTAAGCTTTTTATGCTTATTTTTCAGGGTCTACTTTTTTAATAACTCTTTTGGGTGGTTCTCTAACTCTTCTGTCATCTGAAGATCTAACTTTTACAACTCTGCTGTGGATTGCACAAGCAATACAATATGAAAGTTTGCAATAAAGCTTAGGAATTGTATATGCTTCACCTTAGAAAGCCAAGGCTGCAATGATATCTCTTTTAGAAGAGGCATCTACGATATCTCTAACAGTGTATCTTTTTACTGCTTTATCTTTAGCTACTTATCTACCACAGTTAGTGCAATCAACAGTTCTGGTGTGTCCTCTATTTTTTTGGTTTCTTCCGTGATTTCTTCTTTTGACAGGCATTTTAATTTTTTTTTTATTAATATAATTATTATTATTATTATTATTTTTTTTTTCTTTATTTTAATATATATTTATCAACAATTAATTTTGTATACTTTTTATTTTATTGTTTTTTTATTCTTTTTTAAATATAATATTTAATTATTAATGTCATATATTTTGCTTTATTAAATAAAAAAACATAAATAAAAATAAAATATAAAAAAATATGGAAAATAAAGATGATAGAAATAAAATTAGTGTTAAAGGATTAGATATGACAACAGATATGGAAGCAGATGCTTACGAGATAGCATTGAAAGCATTAGATAGATTTTCAATCGAAAAAGATATGGCTTAGTATATAAAAAATGAATTTGATAGATTACACGAAAAATACTGGCATTGTATTGTTGGAAAATAATTTGGATCTTCAGTTACACATGATTCAAAACATTATATATATTTTTATATAGGAGAAATGTCATTTTTATTATATAGATTTGGTTGATAAAAATAAAAAAAAAATCCACAAAATGAAATTTTTGAATTATACTTTTTTTCTTTTATATATAATACAATATTTTATTCATTTTATAATTTTTGAATATTTATTTTGTAAATTGTATATTTATTATTAATTTAAAAAAAGTTATTTTACATATTTATTAAATAAATTTTCATTCTTGTTTTAAAATAAAAAAAAATATAAATATTAATATCTAATAATAATTATTATTAAAAAAAAAAAAAAAAATTATAAAATAATTATAAAGGATATTATAAAAAAATTTTCTGTAAATATTTTATAAATAAAAAAATGTTTAGAAAAGATAAAAAATAAAAAAGTAATAATAATAAAAGATTCTTAAATAATAAGTAAATAATAAAAAATTAATATAATATAAATATAATTAATGATTAAAAATAAAAAAAAAAAATTGATAAATGAGGAGAAAAATATATTTAAATTGATTAATAAATAAATATAAAAATAAATAAATAAAAAAATAAATAAATAAATAAATAAATAAATAAATAAATTAAATTAAATTAAACTTATTTTTTATTTCAATATTTTTAATTTTTAAAAATTTTAATTTATCGTTATATTTATTTTATTGTATTATTTTATAATTTTAATTTCATGTTTTTTTTTTTTTTTAATTTTATTGATTTCTATTTTTTTTTATTATTCTTTACTATAGAATTTTAGATATTATAAATATTTTAATTTATATATTAAAATATAAAACTTAACTTCATTTATATTTATACTTATTTATTTTAATTAAAATAATAAATAAAATATGTCAAATATTTTAATTAGTCTAGTTGATAATTAAGATATTTTAAAACTGAATGGATAAATTGTTTCTTTTTAATCTTTTATAATGAAAATTATAAATTATTAAAATTATTAAAATATCAATTTATTTAAATAAATCAATTAAGATTATATTATTTCCGTATTAGATAAGAATGTTCTTGAAAAGTTAAAATAAAAATTTGATAAAAAATCATTAGATATTATATAATTTGTATATTTATTTTTGCAAGTTTTGGACCATAAATAAGAAGAAATAATTTATTTAACTTTAGCATTAATAAATTTTTTTTAAAGTTTATCAGAATCAATATATGATAACTAAAATAAAATTAATTTTAACGATTTAACAGATAAAATAAGTCTTAAAGTAAATATTTAAAACGAAGCTTTCTAAATCTAAACAAAAGCCTATATACCACTTAATAAATTTCGTAGTAATAAAAGTTAATAAAATAATAATTTCTAAGACATAGATCCTTAAATTATTTATGAATATAATTATTCTCATAATATAAATAGACTTTTATAAGGAAATTTATTATCTGATTCAATTACTCATAAAAATAAATAAATTTTAAAGTAATTACTATTTATTTATATATATTAAATTATTTATAAATACTTTTATTAAAAAATTATTATATATGTCTAAAAGTTTATATATATAAAAGTGCTATTTATGCAAAGGAAATTAAAAAAGTTATTGTTTTAGATAGTCTTGATGATAAATTATAACTTTATGATTTAAATTGTTAAAGAGTGCAATTAATTAGTTTAAATTGTCATAGAAATGATAATCCAAATATAATAATATTTAATATGGCATGGTCAAATAAACAATTAAGAGTATTTTTTAAAAAAAATTAAAAAAATAATTAATAAATAGATAGGAGCTGTTTTGAAAAATTACAGTATTAGTTTTTGGGATTTAGTTGACAATTTTAAATTCGAAAAAAATTTTTTTATACATGGTTTAACATAAGATAATTAATCAAATATATGGTATTTAGAAAATTTAGATTATTGGATAACAACTGATTATAGTAATTAGATATATGCATGGGATATATTAAATGAGACAACATTATTCACAGTTAGGTTTCAATATATATAAGGTAACATAACACAAATAGTCGAAATGCCTTATTTATAATGCATAGCAATATCTTCTACAGATAAAAAGATTACATTTTGTAATTTAGAAAAATAATAATATTTGTTTATGATTGAATTACCTACTTAAGGTGCTTAATAAATGGTATTTTCTAACGATTTTTAAATTTTAATAACTAGCGGATATGAAAATAATATATCATTGTACAATATTAACGCAGAGCACATGGAATATACATTAGTTGGAAAATTAGAAGGACATATATAATTGATTAGTTGCATTTAAGTAATTGAAAATACACCAATTATTGTTTCTAGTGATGATTAAGGGTTAATAAAGCTGTGGGATATCCGAAATCAAAAGTGCATATAAAGCCTAAAATGCACATCTTTTTAATCCATAATTAGCAAAAAATGTGCAAATGTTAATTTAATTTTGGATATATATACTGAAGGCTTTTTAGGAGTTATTGGAAATAGACTGAACTTAATTAAATTTGATAAAGGAAGCAATAATATTAATTTAAATAATTTTGTTCTTAACAACTAAAATAAAAAATTTTTTAATAAATAATAATAATAAGAGTTTTAATTTCCTCTTAAAGTTGAAAGTGATTTTTAAAGATAAGAAATTATTGTCTGTACAATGAAAGAAATTAAAGTTTATGACATTCATAATGGTAGATGTAAATTTAAATTTAAAAGTTTAATGGAAAATAAAGATGATGAATATACATCTTTTAAATTAATATAATAAAGCCAATTCTTTATTTTGGGAAACTAAAAAGGATAAATTAGTTTACACGATTTATAAAATAAAGGAGAAAGAGTAAAATATCTTAAAGGACATTAAGATGAAGTTAATATACTTAAAATAGACTATGCTAATAAATTATTAATTTCGGTAGGCTATGATTCTTAAATTATTATTTAAAAAATTCATGGAAGCAAATCAGATAAAAAAAGACTAATTTAAAACATTAAAAATGGCAAGGTTTTTTTTTTATTATTATTTTAATATATGCAAAAAAAGGGAGTTAATATTATTGAAATTTCAGTTTATCATAATGTATTCTTTATCTCAAGTATAAATTCCGAAAAGGTTTATATTTTTGATTATGAATATGGTAAACTTGCAGGATGTTTTTAATTTGAATAAAATTAAGAGCCTACCGCAATGAGTATTGTAAATGGATTTTAATTATTATTGGTTTCCACTTCTGATAATTTTATTTATATTATTTATTTTTTAAAAAAAGAAAATTAATAATTCGAGTTTATATAATTGGGAAATATAAATATAGTAAAAAATTTGGAAGAATATTATAATAATATTTATTTTAGTAATGACAATATCAATTAATTTGAAAATTATACTAAAGAATTATTATTCGAAAACTAAAAATTTAATGAAAATTTATAAAATGAAAATATAAATAAAGAAAACCCTTAGTATTTTTAAAAAAATATATCTATTCATAATATAGGATTTGTAAATTTTATTTTGTCTGATATAGAATTCTAAGAGGATAGTGAAATTGTAAAAAAGGCTTAATTTTATGTAACTACAAGCAAAGGATATTTATTAAAATTTAATTTTTTAAATATACAATAAAATTATGATTAAATAAAGATTATTCCTCATTCAAATACTAGAGTTAATTATAACCCATATAGAGAAAATATAGAAGACTTTTAAAAAGCTTAATAAAATTTAGTATATGAACCTACATTAATACGAACAAAAATAAATTTTTTATAAAATAATAATAGTAATTAATTTCTTTAAATATAAAAAAATATAAATTTAAGAATTAGTTCATGTATTCAAGCTCATAATGATTAAATTAATTCCTTTAGTTTTTTAAATGGAGATGTAAATTATTTAATTACTAGTAGTTTGGATTATTATTTTAAAATTTGGAATAAATCTGATTTAAATTTAGTAGGTTCTCATAATATAAATCATCCTTTACCAGAAAAATGGGATTATAAAATTAATGATTAATAAAACTAAGCTAGAAGAATAATTTATGCATTAAGGATTTTAGATATTATTAATATTAAATATTTATATAAGTTTGGAAAGTTAAATTTAGTAAATATTTTGGAAAAAATAATTTCTGATAATAATTAAATTGATAAAATTTAATTAGAAAATGATGATTAAAAAAATAAATAAATTTAAAGATAATTGAGTAATAAATAATAAAGCAATAAAAATAAAGTAATTATTATGAAAGATAAATATTCTCCAAGAGATATTAAATATGAAGAATCAAAAAAAATATGTTAATAAGAATATCTTGGAATGTCTTTAAAAAGAATGGAAGTTAATAAAAGAGTAGCTATTGCGTAACATGTTTGGAAAACTAAAATAGAATAAAATTATAAAACCGATAAAGATATAGTAAAAAAATAATTAGATTTCTATTGTAAATCTGATGAAAGGGAATCTATTCTTAATTTTTTAAATTAATAGTATAGAGGAAATTTATTAAATAAGAATCCTAATTTTAATGATGAATATTCTAAATAAACTAAAAGTTTATAATAAAAGTTTACTTAGATTGATAATGGGTAAAGATTTATACCGTTAAGTAATTCTAAAATTAATTTCTAATAAGTTTGTTTCAAAAAATAATTTGATTCTAAATCTACTAACAAAAATTAAAATTAACCTTCTAGTAATAATAATAATAATAATAGTAAAGTATAAATAGTTAATATTAAGAGTGAGTAAGATGAATTTTAAAATGTATATATTTTTATATTTTAATTTCATATTAAAAAAAATAAAGGATAAATAATTTAACTAATCAAATAAGTAAATATTTTTCACATCTTAAAATAATTTTAAGTAAACAAAAGATATATATAAATATGCTTATGAAAAAAATATTATACAATCTTCTGATTTTTATAATGCCTTTTAATAATCACAAGCATTATTTTAAACAACTTGTTAAATTTAAAATAGGTCAGCCAAACATTTGCATTTATTTTTAAATGGAATAAATTAAAAATTAAAGAATTCAAAATAGAAAAATAAGACATTTGAATAAAATAACTAAGAATAAAATTCAGCAAATAAAAATTTATAAGCAAATTCATTTAGAATATCTTAGCAAACTTCAATCACATCTGATAAATAGAAAAGTAATTAAAATTACTTACATAATGATATTTTTTAACTTAAAAAATACTGAAAATAAAATATTGTTGCAAAAGGCGTTATTTTATTATAAAATATACTATAAAATATATAATAAACTATTTTGAATATTTATAGTAACTATAAATAATAATAATAATAATAATTGCTTTACATTTATCATATTATCTATATTTATTTATAAATATATAAATAAATGATAATTATATTTTTAATTTTAAACAAAAAATATATATTTATATAATAATAACTTGCTTAAAATATACTATATTTATAAGCATATATTATTATTTTAATCCTAAAAGTTTAATTAATTTGTTTTTAATAATTCTATTATAAAAAGTAGTAATTTTAATTAAATCTACATACTTTAATTTAGTTTATTTTTTATATAAAATAACTATTATTTTTATTGTTTCCTAATTATTTTTATTTAGTTTTTAGAAAATTAATAAATATAATATAAAACTTAAAACAATTTTCTAAATTATAATTCTATAAAAAATTAAAATAATTAATAAGCAATATCTCCATCTCCAAAATTTATAAAATGTAATCAAATAACTTGTCTTTTAAGTAATTTTAAGTTCTTATCATATTTTATTAATTGCTTATTCATATTTTTTGTGTAATTTTTCAAAAAATAAAAAAAGTTATTATCCATTTTTTTTCTAGCTTTTTTTTTATTAATTGAGCTTATTATTAGATTAACTTATTTACAATTTAATTAGTAAAATTAAATTTAAATAGTAATTTTGCATTTAAAAAAAAACTTCAGCGTCTCTAATTAATATTTGAATCAAGATACTGTGTACTAATTCATTATAATATTACGGAGAAAAAAAATACATAAAAAATAAGTTACAAATTTTCCTTTAAATTATTGAACAAAAGCAGAACAAATATATTTTATTTTTTTCAAAATAAAAATCTAGATATTTTTGCCTATAAAATTCCCAGCTTAAAATAGAAGATTCAAGATTTAGTATAATTTATAAATAAATACAAAATAATATTAGGCGATATACTAGTGGTTGTGTATGTTCATGTAATGGAATATCGGATAATTAAGCCTTTGCAATAAAGATAATTAGGAATTTATTACTCTTTAAAAAAAAAATCAAAAGCAAATACTTCAATTAAAAATAAATTATAATATATAATTTCTAAATTATAAGAATCAAAATTTTTATGAAAATAATTTAATTCGCCATAGTTGAATAAAGCATGATAATCATGATAATTATTAACATAAAAGATCAAAATAAAAATATAAATATTCATTTCGGATTTAAAAAATCTATAAATCTTAAAAAAGAATTAATCACAAAAATAATTATAAAGTCAATAAAATGCAATATCACATTGGTAAACCTTATTTTAAAGTTCAAATAGTGTTCTAAACTTGTGGATATAATTGATAAGTTGATTTTTGAGCAATAGGTTTTATTTCTTTTCTACTTATTAATTTAAAAGTTCATCTTAAATAGGAATTTTTAGAAGAAGGTGTAAATTCATGATAAAAAGGGTTAATGTAAAATTACGAGATTAATTAAAATTTATAAAATAGTTCTGAAATGTTTTATAATTTTATAAAGTTTTATAAAACACATATTTTACTTAGTTAAAATTATTTAAAATAATAAATACTTTAATTAAATGAATGACAAATTAGGAAGTATATTCTTATTTATAGGTAAAAAATACAAATTAATATTATTATAATATAAATAAAAAACAAGTATAAAGTATTATAAACAATGATTTTATCAGTTCCAATATTGATTTTTAAAGGAAAAATAAAAAGAAAATAAATTTAATAATAAAATTATATCTGTTATTAAATCTATTGATGATTTGATTCATTTAACATAAAGAGAAAGAACCTTCAAAAATCGCTTTAAAGATTTGAAAATTTTAATTTTTTATTCTGAAAATAAATAAAATTATTCATTAAAATTAAAAACATGATTAACAATCCTTAATTTCATAAATGCATTATTTAGATTAATAAAGTAGTATTTTTTATTAAAATTCAATTATCTAATTTAAATAATATTAAGATAAGTTAAAAAAGTTAGAAATAAAACAAGTTTGAAATTAATCTTAAATATTAAATATACTAATTAATAAAATTAGTTATTAGCATTTATTTAACTTTAATAAATATTTTAATAGTAATTATTATTTTTATATGATTTTATTATTATTTCTTTAATTTTTTAAAATTTAAATCAAAAAAAAGGTAATTGATATTTTTCATTTCATTGAGTTTTTAAGAAAATTATATAAAAATAAAAAAAAATTGAAAAAGTAATATAATTTAAAATTTATAAATATATATACTAAGTAATCAAATTATTCTTTTAAATACTTTTTTTTTTGATTAAATAAAAATAATTTAATTTTGTATAAAAAAATAATTAATTTGTATAAATTTGATTTGGTATTATTGCTTTTTTTAATCGAATCATTTATTTTAATCTTATTTTAGTAATATTTTTATCAATTCTATATCTTATTTATATAAATATAAAAAAAATATTACAATATATTGATATATTTAAAATTAATTTTTAAAATAATTTTAAATAATTTTAAATTATATTAAAATATTTAGTTTTTATTAAAGATAATAAATAATTCTTTATTATTACAAAATGTAAAGTTTTAATAATATTATTTGGTAAAATCCATATGTTGATGTTTTTAAAACATTTAAAGTTTTAGAATTAAAAAATCATCAAAAATAAGGTCGTGTAATTGCTTCATAAGTAAATTTAAATAAAAATTAATAATAAATAATTAATAAAAATTTTAAGGATAAAGAAATAGGACGTAAAGTATTAAAAGTAGAAGGATAAGTTTGTACAAATAATTTTTTAACAATTACTTAAAAATAAAGCAATTCTTTATAATTAATTGGAAATTATGTATTACTTACTATTCTTTTTTCAAAATTTATTATATTTATATAGAATTGTTATATATTATTTTTCAAAATATTTCAATAATTATTTTAATTATACAAAAAAATAGATATATTTGCAATTACAAGTTTAAATAGGATTCATTTTCGTATTTCATATAACTTATTACGATAAAATAGCTCAAATTTACTATATCGTTTTCAAATTTATATAAATAAATAAAAGTAAAATAATTTTATAGATATATATTAAAAATAAAAAAGAAAGTAAATGAAAATAATCTTTAAGTAAATTTAACTTAAATCCCTAATAAATGGTCAATATTAATTATAGATTCATATTCATACTTATAATATTTTTGCTAAGAATACAATCAAAATATTGACTATTAAATAATAAAAGTTTAATTATGTTCAAATTGTAAATACAAAAACATTTACACATCAAACATGCTTTACAATATTGAAACAATTCCAAAAGAAATTAACTTTATACTACCAAAAGACGTTTCATTTTATGAAAAATATTAGTGGATATTTATGTCTTATTAGCATGAAAGCATAGAAAATTTTTAATTGTAGTAATAAGAACAAGAAAACAAATTAAAATAAGTATAAAAGGAAAAAGTTGAATAAGCACAAAAAATTTTGAAATCTATATTGAAAAAGTAACCAAAAGATATACAAGAAGAAAATTAATAAAATATAGAATAATAAGAAGAATAAATGCTAAAGATCCCACCATAGCCGTTTTAATAAGATGAAAATGTAAATAAAAACATATAAAACATTCCTTTAATAGAATATTATTAAGAAAATACATTCGAAAAAAATAATTAATAATTTAGCCTTAAGCCACATCCTATTTTAGAACTATCCCATATTTAAGGTTTTACTTTTAAAAATTCGAACTTTTCTGCTTATGGAAAAACTAATATTGCTTATAGTAGTGGGAGTACATTGATTCTTTAAGATTTGAAAACTCGTGAGCAATAATATTTTTTTAGTTCTTAAAAATAAGAAATTACATGCATTAATAGTTTGTATAATCAAAATTTAATAATAGCAAGTGATAAGAACTAAATTTCATATTGGAATGTATAAACATAGCAAAAAGTAGGCTTTTATTATACTGGATTAAATGAAATTACATCATAAGATGCTGCCTTTTATAAAAATGATATTTATATATGCTTAGTAGGAAATGATGAGCGATAAAATATATATAAAAATTAAAAAATAATAATTATAAAAGGAGATACAGTAACCTGTAAAGTAGGAAGCACAGTAAATATAACAAAAGTAAGCTTTATAGATAGGAAAGATATTTAAAAAGGAATAATTAGTATAGGTAAAGAAAATGTTAGATTTTGGAATTTAAAAGGAAGCATTTTATAACATTCTTCTGTTTTTTTAGGTGAGCATGCAAGAGATAGTATTTTTACAGATTTTGTAATTTCTGAAGAGAAAGCATTAGTGGTAAATAATAAAGGAAATTTGTATATTATCGATGTTTAATAAAAAGAACTACTGGGTGTATTTTTAATTCATTAGGAAAGCATAAAAAGCATAGGAGTATATTTTGATAATGATAAAAACGAGAATTTTATTATAACTTCTGCAAATAATGGACTTTTGAAAGTTTGGAAAAGCGATTTTGCAGAAATTTTATTGGAAGTAAAGTTAGATAGTTAAGTAGAAAAAATATAGACTAATAATTATATTGTTTGCGCTTGTTTAAATGGTACAATTGGAGTTTTAAATATTGAAAAAAAAAAAATTGCGTATATTACAAGAAGTCATAATGAAAAAATTTTGGATATGAAATATCATAGTTATGCAAAGAAAATTATTAGTATTAGTGAAGATTATTCAATTAAAATTTGGGATTTACTAAAATTAAAATCAAATAATAACATTTTTTTTTAATAAATTTATGAGTTTAAATGTTTAGATAAATAAGTTTGTTCTCTAGCAACTTTTCGAAATTTTTAAGGATTTCTTTGTGGATTTGAAGGGGGAAATGTGAGACTTTTTGATCTAAAAAATTTTAGTGTTTTGAGAGATTTTGATAACCACAAAGACAAAATTCTGAGTTTAGACATAAGTAATCAAGACAAATTATTTTTGAGTTTAGATGGGTAAAAGTTGGCATTCTTTAATAAAGAATTTGAATGTGTTAAGGAAATTTTAAACAAAGAAAATTATAAATTTATGTAAGCTTAGTTTGATTTATTAGGTGAATATTTTTTTATTTTAGTTTAAGGAGGATTTTAAATAAATTTTTTTTCCTAAAATAGTTATGTTTTATTATTCTGTATAAATTCGAATGAGGAAATTTAAAAAATAAGATTTTCCTTTATAAAAGAAGACCTTTTTATAACTACACTAAATGGAAAATTAAAGAAATATAAAATTAAAAATAATAAATAGGTTTTACTTTTTAGAGAATACCAAAATAATATTTTTGCAAATAATTTATCGATTTCTGAAAATAGCTCTTTTATTTTTATCTTATCAAATTTCAATAATAGATTTTTAATGAAAATTTATGATTATTATTTTAGAGGAGGACTTGAACCTTATTTTTAGGCTTTTAATTGTGGAGAATAACTATAAGAAATAGTTTTTTCTAATGATGAATTAAATCTTGTATTCGCATTTTCTAATGAAAATAAATCACTTTACTGTTGGAAGTTCCTTGGTTAACCTATATTAAACAGACCTGCTGAAGAAGATGAATAAAATAAGATAATTGAAGACAAAGAAGAAAAACTTATATTTGAACCAAGTATTCAAATAAACAATAAAGATAATTTTATATAATAATAAAATAAATAACAAAATGAACATTAAATTAATATATAATCAACTAATGACTAAAAAAATAAAAATGTTATATATAATAATGATATAGAATAAGGTAAAAATTAAAATTAGAATAAAAATAATTTTTAAAATAATAATATTTATATAAATAATAATTAAATATAATAATAATAATAATAATAATAATAATAATAATTATAATAATAATAATAATATTGTAATTAAATAAATGTTTCTTATTAATTATAATAAAATCATCTATTATAATTATAAAATTAAAATTAAAATTAAAATTAGTTATTAAATCTACATTAAAATTAATAATTTAGGAACGTATAAATGTTAAAATAATAAGAAAATTAAAAAGAAGAAGATTTATTATTATAAAGTAATAATCCTGGAGAAATAGAAGGAATAACTTTATTTTAAAGAAAACCTGGCGAAATATTCTAAATGAATTCTACAATTGGTTTTTCAACTTCTTTAAAATTTCCCTTATCAAAGTTTATATGGAATAAAATATATAGATATATAATTACTTATTTAGACCATATTTTAACTATAAATGACATAAATAGTCAAAAAAAAATACAAAAAGTTTTAATTTTTCCTTAACAAATAAATTCAATAGACATATCTCCGAACTGTAAATTTTATTATTTGTCCTTCAGTAATCATACAATTATTTTTGATAGCATTTCTCATAAACAAATTATCTAAATAAATACAGAAAACGCTTCTTTATTAGAAATATCTCCATGTTCAAATTATTTATTGGTATCCTAAATGCTAAAAAATACGATAAACGTTTATGAATTAGCATCTTAAAAATTAATATCTTGCAGTATTTTGGAAAAATCTTTTGTTTCTTTTAAATGGAATAATGCAACTTTAGGATCTTTAGAGTTTGCAGTTTTATTTTTATAAAAAGTTTAATTTTGGAGATTGAATTCTCGAATGACATTAGAATTTTAAGAACCAGAAATAAAAAATAAATAATAATTAGGAAACTTTAATTGCTTATTATACTTGATTTTAGATAATTAACATTTGTTATTTGTCGGGACCTCTTTAGTAATATATATATAATTAAATAAAAATTTATAAAAATAAATAGGGAGCTATCTTAATATTTGATACAAGAACAGGAATATGTTCATGTGTATGTTAAAATGTTATAAATCAAAGCATAACGGAATGTTTATATGTAGAAGAAAATTTAATACTAATAAGTAATAGTGTTAATATTTATAAATTTCAAATGAAGAATCAAAATGATCTCTAACACAAAATACCTCTTTCAGAAAAAATAGCTTAGATAATAGGTTCAAACCCTTAATTATTTACATTGGATGCGTTTCCAGTATCATATTCATCTAGTGGTTTTATTTTTTCCAACAATAAACATTAATAAAATGATGAAAATATAATTGTTTTATCGAAATTCGGTACATTATGGCTTTTGGATTTCTAAGAAAATGAGTTGGTGAGGATTAGTGGAAGTCATTAATCTGAAAAAATAATAAGATAAGTTAACTTTTTACCTTCTTGTTAATCATAACAAAATGGATATTTGTTTTCTTGTTCAAATGATTAAACAATAAGAATTTGGGAATTAGAAAGTATAGAAGAAAAAACTGAATTTTTTTTACCAAAAAAAGAATGCTTAGTTATGGATTTTCTTTTAAATTTGTAAATTCTTGTTGCTGGTTATAATGATGGATTTGTTAGATTTTATAATTATGTTTCTTATGATGTATTGGGTTAGGTTTTTTTAAATATTAATAACTCTAATTAATCTTAGGTTAACTGTTTAAAATGTTTACCTGAAACTAAAAATTTAATTGCGGGTAATTCATTGGGAGATTTATTTATTTTGGTTTTAGATTTTAATAATCAATTTTAAGTATAAATGAACAAAATAGGTGATGCATTAGGTTTTGAATTGGCTAATATAGATATTTCACCATTTGAGCCTTTAAACTTTTTTGCTGTTTGCACAAAAAATGGAAAGATTTAGATTTGGAATAGAAAATAACTGAAAAGGAATGTAAAGCCTATTGAAGAATTAGAAAAAATATATGAATTAGAATATTATTTAATTGATAATTTAAAAATTAATAAAACATAATAAAATAATCTTGACTCGGATAATCAAGTCCTATTTTCTAAATAAGATAAAGATGAAATATATTATCTTACCAAAGATTATGTGTAGATACGAAATTTTAGAGAACATATTGTATTATTTATTTTTTTATTTTTAAAAAATCTTTATTTATTTTTAGAATATTAAATAAATTGCTCTAAATGGTATTCCTAAAAAAATGTGTTTGAATGAAAAAGGAGATGTTATTTTAATTGCTTATAAAAGTAAATTTTATTTTTAGTTATTTCTTCTGATTATTTATATATTTTTTTTTCTATTTTTAGATAATGGCATAATATGTGCTTATGATATTCATAATAATGCTTAGTTGGATAAATTATAAATTTATTCTCAAATATCTGATATATTTGTTTTTGATTAAGAAAGTTAAATTTCAATAAATAGATAACTGTCTCATAATTAAAACCATAGTAAAAATCCTTATTTGATTATAGCTTCGAATAATTAAATTATAATTTTTAATTTAATTAAAATATGAATTTCTAATTTATTTATTTTATGTTAAAAAAAAAAGTTATAATTATGAATTATTTGTAAAATTAATATTGTTATTAAATTATTATGATTTTTACTTTAAATAAATGTTAATATATAACATTTATAATATTTTTATATAAAAATTTAAAAAAATATGTATAATTCTAATTAAAAATTATATTTAATTTTTATTTCAAATGATTTTTTAAACACATAGATAATATAAATACTATTAACTAAGGTTTAATATTATAACTCATATTTGATATTTGACCTTTGTTTCGATATTTTTGTCGAATCATATAGATTTATATTCTCTATTTATATTTTCGTTCAACATAATTAATTAAAAATTTACTAATTTAAAAAATGTATACTTAATTTTTATAATAAACAATAAAAATAAATGTTCTTGTTTATAATAAATTATTTATTTCCTTCTATAAATAAAATACATTTTAATATATTAATTGAAATAATTCGAAAAAATAATTTTTTAAATAATATATATAACTATTTAAAAATAAATCTATAAAATAATTAATTATATTTTTGATAATAAAACTAATTGTAAAATGTTATATTTTAATGAAAATTAAATTTATAAGATGCTTCTTTAAATTATAAATATGATTAAAAATGTAAAATAAATTTTCACTAATTTAATAATATATAAATAAAATTTAAACAAAATCTATCTAAAAATTATATTCAAATGCTATTTTATTCTTTTATAATATCTTTAATTTTTATTTTCCATTATTCTTGGCTAATTTATATTTAATTTTTTTTTATTTAATTATCAATTTAAATATATTATTAAATTACTCATTTGCCCAATCTGGAGCTTTTAAATTAAAAGAGTTCATTATTTCTTTAATTTTTTAAAAATCATACTCTCTTCTTTCTTCATGAACATAATTATTTTCTTTTAATTTGTTTTCTTCTTATTCTTTTATTTTTAAAAATCAACTTAAGAAGCTTATTAAAACTTTAAAAATAAAATTAAATAAATTATTATTTTTAATTAAGAATGTGATAATTTAATAAAAATACATCATCATATTCATCATTATCATCAAAAAGACAATTATTATCATCATTAATTTACTAATAATTATTATTTTTATTTTCATCATTCTATTAATCATCTTGATAGGTATTTTATTAATTTTAATTATTATTAAAATTATTATTTTATTCATTTAATTTATTTGTAATATCATTCAATGTTTTTTTCTACTCGATTAAATCTTCATCATCTTAAAATTTAGTTCCATCATCTGTTTCTGCTTTTTCAAATCTTCCTCTTAATATTATTTATTCTTATTAATTTCTAATTTTATTCTCGTATTTTGTACATAATTCATAATCTTATTGCATTAAATTTAGTTATACATTTAACATTTTATCCTTTTTTAAAAATCATTAATAAACAAATATATTTATAATATTTTAAGATTTAGATAATAAATTTAATTATATTTAATATTTTTAGTTTTTAAAATAGATTATTACTATTTATTCCATTGTCATTTATTTTTTTGGTAGGCCAGTAAAAGAATCCATTTTAAAATAGTTTTTTTTAATGAAAATAATTTTAAAAAAATGATTAAATTATAATTTATTTTTTTAATTGTAATAAAAACAATAGTTTTAAAAATAGTTAAGTAAAATTTAATTATTTATTTTTAAAAAGGATTAATTTAGCAAATAAATTAATTTCTTTTTTATAAGAATTAATTTAGTAAATAAAATTTAGATTTAATTTAATAAATAAAAATTATTAATATAAAATGTAATAAAAAATTGGTATTTATTAATGTTTAAATGTTGTTTTATTCATATATACTAATCTTTATTTTCAAAATAATAATTATGTACATATTTAGTGATTCGTTTTTATAATTTATGATTATAAAAAAATTATAATTATATAAATTAATATAAAAATGAGTTAAAAATTTATGTAATTATAAATTCTAATATTACACCTTTTAAAAAATAATAATTTTATTTTTTATAAATATTAATTAATGTATAATAACACTTTTGTAAATATAATATGATTATAGGTATTTTTATAATTTAATAATTTATATTTTTTAATTGATAAAAATCATTTTGTTTAATTATTCTTATAATTTTATCATAAAATTATTTCTAAAGTCATATGTTTTTATTATATAAATAAAAATTTATTGCTTATAAACAAATGATTTTATATTTAATATATATTTAAAAATTTGCCATTTGATTATTAATATTTTTATACTAGATGTTCATAAATATATTTATTTATTTTTATTTAAAACAATACTATATATATTTTTTTTCATTTAAAATAATACTATATATATATATTTTTGTTTGTAATATAAGTTTAAAAAAAAATACAAATCGCAAATAATAATTTCAAATTAAATCAAAAATATTTATATTAAAAGACAAAAAAGTATGAATCCGTCAGTATATTTGATTTTCTATTCTATTCACAGTTAGATAAATTGATATAATAAATTATTACATTTTTTTAATATGTTTTATCTTAATTTTATACCCTTTATTAATTATACAAATATAAAATTTATTTTTATAAAAATGATTTATTGCTTTTTATTCATATTTTAAATAATTATCTTTTAATTATAAATTTTTATTAAAATAATTTAAATTATATTTGATAAAAATATAGTTGAATACAAAAGTTAATTGTAATATAAGCTTTCAAAAATTAAAAATTTAATAAAATATAATAATGGAATTTATTTATCATAGAAATAATTATTTATCATTCACAGAATATATTGTTTTTACAAAATTCTCATAAATAAAGATTGAAGAATAATATAAGGTCACATTATTTTTAAAAGTATTATATTTTACTAACTGGCTTATATTCGACATGATATTTAAAAATATACATACTCAACATCAATGTATGCATGTATAAGTTAGTTGTAATTGATTATTTATTTGATATAAATATAATTTAAATTCAAATTTTATATTAATTAACTTCCTATTATCAAAATTAATTTAAAAGGAATACACTAATTGATTTTTTAAAGTATTTCATATTCAGATTCATAATTTCCTACATTTAACTATTATAATAAAGCTAATAAGAGATCAAATATGTTAGCTGTCAATTAAATTGGTTTATAAAATCATTTAGTTAACTCTGAAATTTACTAAAATCTAATTATTAATTGCGTCATTTTTAATGTAAGCATTTTACTTAGCCCAAATTTTTACATAATAAGCACATCCCGAATCTTCATAAGATAAATAAACTATTCCACATATACTTACTGTTTCAGGATATAGGACTTTCCATAGCTAAATCTTAAACTTCAGAAAACATTCTTAATTTTTACCTAAGTTTTATTCTTTTTAAATTATCTAAGCAAAATGTCATATTATTATCTAATACTGTATTCATATTTCTATCCATAGACCATCTACTAGACTATCAAAAAAATCCACTTTCTTTTGTTTGGGTTCCAGGATCGGATTTAATCCAATTCTATTTGCATTTCTTATTATTGATGAGGGTAAACCATTTTGCCATTAATAAATAAAAAAATTAAATTCTCTTAATAATTCACCTGTAGTTTTGCATTTCGAATTTAATATACATTTTAATAACCAAAATCTTGATCTCCTACTTTTCTTAATATAATCATTGTTTTTGCCGAATTTTCATAATATTCTGTTTTTCTACTTTCAGACGGCAAACTAACATTACACTAAAGCGAACTTTCATAATGTCGAATAAATATATTATTTTTATTACAAAAGTTTCTATTGACTGTAAACCAGAAATAGGCTTTAGTGTATTACTTATTCTAAATTTTCAATTTAATAAATATATTAATTATTACTAAAGATATATAAATATTATTTTTTCATTCATTAATAAATCTTAAGAAAAGGCATTAAAAAGTAGTAATTTTTTTTAAAAAAAATATAAATATCAGGATCTCTCATAACTCTAATCAGTAAAATATATTCAATAAGTATATTTTTTGTTATTTTTAGAGAACCGGTGATTACAGGTAAAAATTAACAGCTTTCATACTATAATCATAATAATTTTATAAAAAAAAGCTATTCTGATAATAATTTATACAAATGAAATTTATTTTCAATAAGGTTTAGGCATTTTCGAATCCTTAAGCAAAAGAATTACTTCAGCTATGATTGAATAATTTATAATTGTATTTTAAAGTATGAATAAGAATTTAAATTATCAGGAATTTTACTTAAACATCCAATATTTATAATTATAAATAATAAATTTTTAAAAAATTTAATTTACTTCAAATATGAATTTATCTAATTTGTTAATGATGGTGTTCTTATTATTAAGTAATTATAAATAATACTAATATATGAAATTCATCGTAATATGAAAAATCACTTTTTATATAAAAATAAATTAATTATATTATAAATTATATATATTACATCTTACAAAACAACTTTTTTATAAGTTCAAATAAAAACTATGATTAGTATAAAGAATTAAATATAGTGCTTAACTAAAGTGCCTTATAATCTGAATAAATCTTTTGTAAATCTAGTTTTTCATGCTTAAATTGGTACAGCAGGCACTTTACGTAATTAATTATATTAATCATAAGTAATAGACATTTAGTATCTTAAATAAATAATTTTAAAAAAAAAATTAAAAAAAATTATGATATAATATAAATAAAAAAAGAAAATATACGTAAATATTAGTGATCAATAACCATTTTTTAATAAGTTATAAAATATTAATTGTAAAAAAATTAATTATGACAATATTATTAAACTATAATTAAGAAATATATATTTATTATAATTAATTAAATTATTATTATAAATACAATTTAAAGTAATATTAAATTATAATATTAATATTTAATTAAATACAAATTAATTTAATATAATTAAAAATATTCAATTAGTATCTATTTAATAAAAATAAATTCAATTCAATTCATATAAAATAAAGTTTAATTTAATTTAATTTATTATATTATTATTATTTTTATTATTATTATTTTTATTATTATTATTATATATATATTATTTATATTATTATTATTTCTATTTTTTATTAATTTTACTATTATTTTTAATTTTTTTTTTTTTTATTATTATTAGTTTTTTTTTATAAAAGTTATTTTATTTTTATTCTTATTTATTTATTATATATTTACTATTTTTTTTTTTTTTTTATTTATAATTACTTATTCATTTCCATTTCCATTTCCAAAATTTATTTATTAAATAATAATTTTTTATTTAACAAGAATAATTATATATAATATATTTTCAAAATGTACATAAAAACACAATACTTTGAATCTTTATTTATTTTAGATAAAAATTCATTAATATTTATTATTTAATTTTAAATAATAATTTAAAAATTTTAATTTTAATTTTTTTTATTATCATAAATAATAAATTTATTATATAATATTTTTTAATTTTTTTATTAATAAAATTTTTAAATAATAATACATTAAAAAACATATTTATTTATATTTTTTTTCGAACAAATTTTTTTAAATTTTTATTTTTATTATTTATTTTTATAAAAAAAATTTAAACTTCTGATTGCAAATTTAATTAATATATTAAAAAATAAAAAATAAAGTTAATAATTTAAATATATAATAAGCATTATTATTTAAATAGAATAGATATTTTTTATTCAATTACTACATTTCAATATTAATATTATATTTATATATAATTACTTATAATAATAACTTAAATTTAGTTAATTTTTTACAAGCTTATGATTAGTAATTTAATTTAAAAAAAAAATATTTAATTCAAATATTATATTCTTAATTAAAATAAATTTGTATTAATAATAATAAAATATATGATTCCACGTTATAAACATATTTTATACTAAAAATTACTTATTTTACAAAAATAAACATATATCTTTTTTTTTAATTGAGAACATATATAAAAAATATAATTTATAAATAAAAAAATTAAAAAAATAAAAAATTAAAAAAAAATTAAAAATGCTCGTAGGCCTAGGTAAATTTATTTTAGTTCTTTCTTTATGTATTCAAGGAGGTTTATTGTTTTACAGACATAATTCTAGATAAGATTTTAACACATCTTTAACAAAATTATCAATAAAAGTACCTTAATTAGCTATAATTTAAGATTATTAATAATACTATGAAGAAGCTAGATATGTTGTAGCTGGTTTATATATTTTGAGTTCTTTAATTTTACTAAGCAATTGCAAAATAGTTCCTTTTTTAGTAACTTTAGGAATTATAGCAAACACAGTTTTATAAACTTTGCCAACTTTACTTGAAAATAACTAAGATTAAAATGCACTTGCAACGGTTTTAAAAAATGTTTCTATTATAGCTGGTCTTTTTTATCTTATGGGTAGCTCTTCTTCAAGCTGCAGAAATAAAAAAGTAAAATAAGATTGAGATATCCTTTTACAAATTTTTATTAAAATATTTTTTTAAAAAATAGTGAAATTATTTATGTTTTATTGTTTGTCTATGTTTAAAAATAAAATTAAACACTAAATAAAGATATTTTTTATATTTATATTTAATTACAAAAAATTAATATATTTCAACATTTTTAAAATAAAAATTTTAGAGATAATTTTAAACATTTTTATTATTTAATTATTTAAAAAATGATAAAACTTTATTTGACATAAAAATAATAAATAATAATAAGAATTATATTTAAAACAAAATAAAAAAAATATATATATATATATATATATATATATTTTTAATTATAGAATAAAATTAGTTAAATTTTTATTAATTTATATTTAAAAAAATGTATAAGAAAAAAAAAATTATCCATTTTACTAATATTTTTTTATATTGATTATGTTTTCAAAATTGATAAAACATAAAAAAAATAAAACAAAATAATAGTAGAAGGTATTATAATTCATGCTACTTTTTTTAATATTTCATATTTATTTATTGTTCCATGGCCACATGTTATTGATCTAAAATCAGAAATTATATCATCCCAACACGTTTAAATCTAATTAAAAAAATAAAATATAATAAAAATGATAATATAAATAATTATAAAAATAAAAATATGTGTAAATATAATTATATAAATAATATATATATATATATATATATTTATATATCTATTCATATATTTTTTATATTTATTTTAATTATATATATTATTTACTTCATTTTATATTTCTTTTAATTATAGTTAGATAATCAGAGAAATGATCAAGAATATTTAATGCTCCTATGTTTTAATATTTATTTACAATTAGTAATCATTTGTTAATTATAGTATCCTGTTTAATCTTCAAGTTCTTTTAATATCTTCGATAAAAATGTTATTTTAAATAAATAAATATTTATTTTTTTATACTTTAGATGGTTAATATACTGTTTCTTTGCTTTTTCCAAAAATGTTGTTAAACATTCCTCCTTAACTACCATTGTCTTTATTAATTACAAAAAAATTTTTAATTAAAAATTAATATATAAGATAACCTGTTTTTTTTGTTAATGCGGCATTTAAATCGTTTCTAATTTTTACTATATCTTTTAATCCATTTAAACTATCTTTATGAAATTTAAAATAATTATAAAAATTATTTTCAAACAGTTTTTATTAATTTTAAATTTAATATGCTTATTTAACATATATATTATTCATAATTTTATAGACTTCTTCTAAATCCTTTACTTAGCATTCTTCAAAAGCTTTTTAATTAAAGAATTGTACATTACTAAATAGTTAAGAAAATACATCGCCAATTTAATAAAAAGCTTGCTATATTTAATTATAACCCTATTATAATTATTTTGATAATAATTTAAGTTTATCATATAAAATATCATTTTATGTCAGAAAGGAATCAATAATAACTGATTAATTTTGACATTCAGGATTTTTATTTGTAAAATACTTTAAAAAATTAAATATTTATATATATGTATATACAGTAATTAATACTTTTCCAATAATAGTTTCTATTTCATTTAGATTTTTCGGTTAATTAAATTTTTCGGTTTCTTTTTATCTTTATTTAAGTAATTTTTCATCAGAAATAGATAAAAAATCAGTAAGATATTTAGAAGATTTTAATTATTCATCATTTAATATTTCCTCTAAAAAACATTAAAAATATATTTTTCTTCTAGTAGCTAATTTATCATCCATAGTTTTTATTGTTTTTTCAGGTAAAGGTGGTATGGCAATTCCAGGATGTACTTTTACAAGTATATTTTTCAACCATAAAAAATCACTGTTGTGTCTTTTCACACTCCAATTAAAAGGCATAGTCGTGATATGATATATTGCATAAGGTTATTTTAAAAGTGAACCTTATATAACTTAAAAGCTTTATATTTAGACTTTTACATCGCTTTTTGCACCTACAACTGTAAGTACACTTTTTTTACATTATTTTTCTTATATAAATTAGGTATTGCTAGTGTTTAAAGTAATGCTTTTTTTTCTTTATGGTTATTATATTTAATCATTTTGCTAAGTTAATTAATTCTAAGGTTACTATTGCTAATTTTTTTATTAATTATCATTTAAATTATTTGTTAATGCTAATTTTGTTTCAGCTGCTATAGTTGCAGCGCCTATTCCTGTAGTTAATTAATTTAATGATTACTTATTTTAATTATGATTTTTTAAATGTAATTCTATTGGAATTTATGAAGCATTATTTGTATTATTTATTTGTAATTATTGTTTTTGACTATTTATTAGCTATTATTATGGTTATATCTGTTGCATTTATTGTTATTATGATTATATGCTTTGATTTTATTGTAATTAAATATTATTATTTTTTGTATCATCAGATCCAAATAATAAATCAAAATCAAGTTCATTTTAATTTTTATTGTTTTAAATTGGTTAAGGTTTTGGATTATAAATATTATTTAAATTTTATTATTATAATTATGTTTATTATATATTTGACTATTAATTATTATTTGATTATTAATAATTTCCATAAAAATCGCTAAAAAGATCTATTTCTTCTCCTTATTTTTTTTATTATTATTAAGTTATTTCTTATGTTTATACTTAAGTTTATTAATTAAATTAATTAAACAAATCATTATCTTAATTATTTATAAAATCATTATTAGTATTTTATGTTTGCCATATATCATTATTATTAATAAAATTTGTTTATATGTTTTATAATAATCCAGTATTCCATATTTCATTATTTTAAAAAATACATTATTCATTCTTTTTAGCTAAAGAGCCGAGAGGATCTTGATCAAAAGGCATAGATGATTATGGAGGTAAATAGCTTTAATAATTTGATTAGTTATCATTTTAATTAGTATCTTTCTTATATTATTATTATTATTATTATTATTATTATTATTATTATTATTATTATTATTATTATTATTGTTATTGTTATTGTTATTGTTATTGTTATTGTTATTGTTATTGTTATTGTTATTGTTATTGTTATTGTTATTGTTATTGTTATTGTTATTGTTATTGTTATTGTTATTGTTATTGTTATTGTTATTGTTATTGTTATTGTTATTGTTATTGTTATTGTTATTGTTATTGTTATTGTTATTGTTATTGTTATTGTTATTGTTATTGTTATTGTTATTGTTATTGTTATTGTTATTGTTATTGTTATTATATTTTTTATTATTATTGCTTTTAATTTTATACTTACTTTTATTGTTACTATTAGTATTATTATTATTATAATAATATATCTTATTATATTTACTTTTATTATTACAATTATTATTATTATTATAATTACTATTATTATTATTTTATTTATTTTTATTATTATTATTATTAATATTATTATTATTACTATTATTATAATTATTATTGTTTTTATTATTATTGTTATTATTGCATATATTATTATTATTTCTCTTATTACATATTTAATTCTTTTTCTTTTTAATTTTAATTTTGTTATTGTTCTTTTTATTGATTTTTTTATTGCAATATATCATTTTCTTCTTAAATTTTTTCTCTTTTATTTGTTTCTTTTTACTTTTATTATTCTTTCTGTTTTTATTAATTTTGATTATCTTAATCAAATTATTACTAATAATAATTATCATCAAATTAATTTTAATTGTATTCTTAATTTTCTTCTTATTATTTTTGATATTTTTGCTTGAATTAATTAACAACCTTTAATATAAAAATAATTTTAAGGAATTATTAAAAAATTAAATTTATATTTTTTTATATAATTTACTATGACTAATTCATCAATAGTATATATTTCTATGTTTTATCCATCTTTTTATTTTTTATATTTATATTTATTATTTTTATTATAGTTTTATCTATATTTATACCTTCTTTATATTCAGACATAAATTACATAAATTCTTCTGGATTATATCCTTCATTAATAATTTAATCAAATAAATAATTTTATTTTTATTCAGTTTAATCTTACATAATAGTTTTGAATATTTTATTTTAATATTTTTGCTTTAATTTTATTGATTTATTTTTTTTATTTTTTATATTGGTAATTATATTAATAATGAATTGTATATATATAATAAAAATAATATAAAAAAAGATATAAAATAAATAATAAATAATAATTATATTATTATTTTATAATATTAAATTAATTTATAATTAATATTGAATTTTTAAAAAATATATAATTTTAAATTTTTTATAATTATTAACACAATTAAAAAACAAAAAAAATAATATGAAAAATTAATAAAATTTAGTTATATAAGGCTCAGATGTTCTTTTAATATAAAACTAAAATAATATATAATAAAAAAATTAGAATTTAAATAATGATTTTTAAATATATGATAAAACTTATAAAATAAAATGGGTAATAAACAAGTTAGCAGAAATGCAATTAATATAAGAAAATATAGATTAAATAATATAAAAAGTGGAATTAAATAATAAAATAGAAAAAATTACAAAAGAATAATTATTTTGTTATATATTTGATTCTTAAGTATATATAAAGTTACAATAAGATTCTGTAAATAAAAGTTTTATTCCTTAAAAAATATTTATATTAACAATTTGTTTATATCATAAAAAAGAAATTAAATATTCATTAAGGAGATATTGAAAGCGTATAATAAACAGAAAAAATACAAGACATTTCTAATATATAAATACAAGATAGTGCCAGCATATTTTTGAAATAACTCGAATAATAAAAAATGTAAATGTTGGTTAATGATGAAAGATATCTATAATGTTAAATATGCTGTATTAACTATTAAAATTCTTTTTTTTATGTAAAGTAAGAATGTGACCATAAATTCTGTAAATATTGTATTTTTAACTATTTGATTAATTGTATTAATACTAATAATGTATTAAGGATTAAATGCCCATATGTATTTATTTTTACTTTCATAAATTTATAATTATAATTATAAATAAAATAGAATAATTGTTAATAATGTTATGTAGATAAAAATATTGAAGAACTTATTGATGAAAATTCATTTAAAAAATACATATAATTTAAAAAGATTCTTATAATAAACTAAGATCCTTCTCTTAAATGGTGTTGTAAAGAAGGTTGCAATAAATACGTTAAAGCAAATGAAAAAAGTAATTAAGCAAAATGTGAATGTGGAAATATTATGTGCTTTTTATGCGGAAACGATTGGCATGAAGGTTAGAAAAAAATAAAATAAATAAAATTAATTTAGATAAAAAAATAAAGGAATTACCTGTTAAGATAAGATGTAAGAAGACTTTCAATAAGCAATATATAAGTATGAAATATCTTTTTGTCCTAATTGTACTGTAAAAGTAGAAAAAGTGTCAGGTAAAGAATCATATATGAATTCAAAATAAAAAAATTACAAAAGGTTGCAATAAAATGACATGTCCAATGTGTTAAGTAAGCTTTTGTTGGCTTTGTAAATTAATAAATATTAGATATTCTCATTTTAATTATTTGAATATATTTGGGTGCCCAGGAAGATAATATAACAATTAAGCTCTGCCTAAAAATTATAAACTAAGGAACTATTTAACTTTATTTCCTAAACTTATACTAATTGTTTTGATTGCTTTATTATTAATTATTGCATTTCCAATTGTTGTTGCTGTAATAGCTGTTTTGACACCTAATTATATTTATAGACATAATACTACATTTAGACAAAGAAGAAAACATAAAAAAGCTAAAATTATCGGTCTGCTAATTTTAGGAATTACTTTTGTGCCGTTATTTTTAATTCCAGCTATTTATATTTTATTTAAAATAGTAAAGTAAGAAATTTGAATTATTAAATTAAAATTAATTAATTAATATTAAATTTAAAAGTAAACATTTTATATGTAAAATTGTAAGTTATTAACATTCTTTCTGTTTTTATATTTTATAAAAGGAATTATTTATTATGCTTAAGTTTTACAAATTATTCCAAGTTAATATATTTTCAAAAACTTTATAAATTAAATTTTTCTTATTTAAAATTAATAGCTAACAATAAAATAATTAATTAAATTAAACTTTGATTTATTTTTAATATTTCTAAACTTTTGTTTTCATTTAAAATAGTAATATGGAATCATAATTCAAATTTATAGTTAAGTAAAAGAAAACAATGCAATATCGAAATTGTCAAATCTTGAAAATATATTTTTAATTTATGCATATTTAATCAAAAAATCTTATGTTATTAATATAAATAATAAAATACTTAAGAACTAAATTTTAAAATTCAAATACATTTTCAGCATTTTTTTCATTTAAATAATTTATAGAATATTATAATGAGTATTTTTTAATCTGAAAAAAATATTAAATATTCATTAAAAAAAATATTTATTAATTTAATTTTAAAAATATTAATTTATAGAATCGATTATTAATATTATTTTTAATTATATGTAATATTTAAAAAAAAATACATTTTATATTAAAATTTTATATAAAATTTTAAATAAACAATTTTAAAAATCATTAAAGGCTTAAAAAATTTAAATAAATAACTATAAAAATATTAATAGAAACATAAAAAAAAAAAAAGAAATAGTAATTTTTAATGAAAAAATCATTATAAAAGATTTAAAAAAAATTATATATATTTTGCTAATTATTAAAATTAAATTAAATTAAATAAATCAGAAATAAATAAAAATTGCAACATAATAAATTAAAAAATTATTATGAACAATTCAAAATAAGATCCTCAAAGTGTAGACGATAATGAAAATCCTAACAAGTAATCTGGAGAAGTTGATAATGTAAATATTTTTTTTTTCTAAAAAAATAAATTTAAATTATTTAAAAAATAAAAATTAAAAAATGAATAGGAAAACAAAAAAAAAGGACCAAACATGACAGCAGAAGGAGAAATTATATATGAAAATATAATAGCTGTATAGAAAAAGAAAACACCTAATGATAATACATTTATAATAACATGTTTAAAAAATCATTTCGTTTTTTATAATTTAAATGAAGCAGAACTGTATAATAAAAAAATATTTATTATCTATTTAAATATATTTATATAAATAAGTGAAAATATAGTAAAGAAAATGTTTTATTGTGAAGTTGCTATTAATGATTATATATTTAAATAAAGTGATAATGCTACAAGTTTTTTTATTTTAGAAAGAGGGGCTATGGAAGTTATAGTCAATGAAAAGTCCAAAAGAGAATTAAAAGCAGGAGATGGTTTTGGAGAACTAGCTTTATTATATAATGCGCCACGTTCTGCTTCTGTAAAAGCATTAGAACATTGTTTTTTATGGGGAATTGATAGAAACACTTTCCGTAGAGCTGTAGAAGAAATGATTACAAAAGAATACGAAGAAAATCGAAAATTTATGGAAGTAGTTAGGTTTTTCCATAATTTAACAAATGAATAAAAAGATGCTATAGCTGCAGTTTTGATTGTGTAGAAATTTTACAAAAATCAAGTTATTGTAACTGAAGGAGATCCTGCCTCATCATTTTATATTATAAAAGAAGTAAATATATTTATATATTTTTAAATATAAATAAAATTATAGGGAAATGTAACTGTATTAAAAGCAAATAAAGAAGTACGTAAATTATATAAAGGCGATTCTTTTGGAGAATAAGCATTATATTACAACACTGTAAGGTAAATGACTGTAAGAGCAGAAGATGAGGTAAAATGCTTAGCTTTAGGAAGAGATACATTAACAAAAGTTCTAGGAGATCAAGTTCATGCTGTTACATTTAGAAACTTATAAAAATGGGCTTTTGATAAAAATGTGCATTTGTAAAAACTTAATAAAGCTTAAATTGATAAAGTATTAGATGTTATGAAAATATCTTCATACAAAGCTGGTGATGTTATAATGAAAAAAGGAACTGTTGCAAATCAAAAAATCGTTGTTATCATTGAAGGATCCCTAAAAAAGGCTAAAAGTGGAATGATTGTAGCTTCCAAAGCCTAAGCTTGGGGTGAAGAATATATGCTGGAAAGCAATAAAAATAAGACTTTTGAAGATGATATTGTTATGGAAACAGATGGAGTTATTGCAGAAATTACTTCCGAAAATTTTGTTGAATGTATTGGAGGAAATCTAGAAGAAATTATAGCTAATAATTAAAAAAATTAAGAAAAAAAAATGTAAAAAGCTGACTAAAATAAAAGAAAAGAATTCTAAAACATAAAATTAAACGAATTAATATATATTAAAACTTTAGGTTAATATATTTATATTTACTTTTTTTTTATTTTTTTTAGCTTTTGGTCAGTTCGGACCTGTTTATTTAGTAAAAGCCAAATATGATAATAACTACTATGCCTTAAAAAGTTTTAATAAAGCGTAAATATCTGAGTAAAGTTTAGAAAAATACATATGTGTAAAATATATTTTTATTAAAATTTTCTAAATTACATAAAAAATCATTAAAGTAAGAAAAAGCAGTCCTTGAACTTGTTAATTTTCCTTTTATAATATAATATGCAAGGTCATTTAAAGACTCATGTGATGTTTATTTTTTGGTTGAATATATTAAAGGAATTGAATTATTTGATATCATAAGAGATATTGGTATTTTTTTTTTTTAAAAAAAAAAAAATTAAAAAAAGGATTATTAAATACGTATGATTCGTAGTTTTACACAGCCTCAATGATAATGATATTAGAATATTTACATCATTAAAACATAATATATAGAGACATGAAACCAGAAAATATAATGGCAGATGAATAAGTAAATAAAAAAGTTAAATAAATATAAAAAAATTAAAAAAAGGGATACTTAAAATTAATCGACTTAGGAACAGCTAAAATATTAAAAGGAAGACATGGTTTAGGAAATAGAACATTTACAATTATTGGAACTCCTCATTATATGGCTCCAGAAATAATATGTGGAAAAGGTTATAATTGTTATATTGACTTATGGTCTGTAGGTATTTGCTTATATGAATTTATGTGCGGAATGGTTCCTTTTGGTGAAGAAGCCGAAGATCCATATGAGATATATGAAGATATAATAAAAAAAGAAATTACATACCCCACATATTTAAAAGATAAGAAGGCAAAAAAATTAATGGATTAACTTCTTAGTAGAGTACCTGAAGTCAGGTTAGGTGGATCTTACGCTACTTTAAAATCCAACCCATGGTTCGAAAACTTCGATTGGGATAAACTCCTTGATAAAGAGTTAAAAGCTCCTTATATTCCTTCAGCTGATAAATTACTTACAGATAAAGAAATATAAGAATTTGAGGAATAAAAGAAATTAATAATTGATGAAATATAAGTAAATATATATTTTTTTATTAAACTTTATTATCATTTAAATTATTAAAGGCTGAATAAAATGTTAGACCCATAGATAAAGATGCTAACTTAGATACTAAATGGGACGAGGGCTTTTGATTTTATAAATTATATTTTATTTATTTTTATTGAATTTTATTATTATCAAGTACAATATGAATATAAATTTTCAACTTCTAATAATTTATATTTCATTTGTTTATTTAATAATATTACAAAAAAATATATGAATAATATTTGTTCTTTTTTTAAACGAAAAGCTTTTAATATAATTTAACAAAATTAATTCTGTAAATTTTATAATTCATTTATCTTTTTTAACAACTTTTCTTGCTGGAGGTTTTTTATTTTATTTTATTTTTTATTAATTAATTTCACTATTTTCAGTGTTCAAACTTTAATTTTGCATATTTTATATATTATTTTCATATTTAACATCTTATTAAATGACATTTTTATCACTTCCATCATCATCATTTTATTTATATTCTTCTTTTTTAAATTCTTTTTATAAATCATCTTTAATATTTTAATTTTCATTTTGACTGGTTTTCTTGTCTTGATCTTCATATTATTATTAGGTAAAAAATTTTATGTCTTTTTTTGTATTTATTTTATATCCACTACTATTTAATTCAAAAGATAAACTAGTCTAACTATTTTATTTTTATAGCATCTTCACTTATTTAATATTTTCCTCTTTTTTATCTAAATATTCTTAAACTTACTTTTACGCAAACATATTTTATAATTTTTGAACATAATCTTTATTTGAAAATGATATATATAAGTATAGTTAAATAAAAAACCTTTAAATCTTTCATCTTCTAAAGCTGAATAATAATAAATAGCTTTTTAATACATGTTCATTAATAAACTAATCATATTTTCATCATTTTTTTTGTAAAACTATTATTCGTAAATCTAAATATTTTTATTAATTAAATCAATATCAATATCTTCATAAGCTTACAAAGTTACTTAACTTTCAGGAATTTAATTGTTTTAAATTTTCAAAATTTTGCCTTCATTATTAGTAATTTTAGCACCGTCTTATTATTTAAGTTTCATTATTGTATCAAAGAATTTATCACTTTCATGTATTGAAAAAACACTTATTTATGAATTATTTTTCCACTCAATTTAAATAATTTAAGGCTTATCTTTTTATCTTTTAATGTTTTTTAAATGTCTTAAATATTACTATTCTTTTAATATTATTATATTTTCCTAAATTAAATCAAATATTAAAAAATTAGATTCTGATAATATTAAATATCCATTATTTACAATTTCAAATACATAAACAGCTTACATTTTAACAAAATTATCTAAATCATATTAAAAATTTATTTTAAATTATCCGAGTTTTATTAAATAATTTTTATCATTTTTATTTTCTAATAAAGTTTTCTTATTTTTTAAATAAAAATAAAATTAGTAATAAATTATTTATTTTGTTAACTAAAAAATTTGGTATTTATAATATCATTTAATATAATAACTTAGTTGGATTCCATTATATATTCAATATATTTTCATGTAAATCTCTTCCGTCAGCTAAACTTGGATATGTAAACTTATTTTTGTAAATATTTTTTTTATTTTTTTTATTTTACTGTAGATTTACATAACACTTTTGGTGAAATAAAAGGATATTAATCATCTATTTAAATTTCAAATTATATTGGTTAATAATTTAAAAGATATGATAAATTAGTATTATCTAAAAAAAGTTTTTGTTAGAGTTATATCTATTATTTTTGAAGCAAATAGTCAAACATATTTAATTATATAAATTATAAGATTGTTTTTAAAATTTAATTTAAATAATTTTGTATTAAAAAATGTTTTATTTACCGATATTTTTATTCCTAATGCATAATATTCTAATTGTATTTAATATTATTCAGAATCAAGATTAGATAAAAATTCGATTTCTAAAATAATTAATTAGATATTATTAAATAAAGATTCATAAAATACCTTTTAAAAACCTTTTTATTTGAGTTTCTTTTTTGAAAACATTCTAAGTAAATTATAGTAATTCTTAATCTTGATTCATTTTATATATAATATAAAAAATATTTAATTTTTTTAATTTTTTGTTATAAAAAAGACTAAAATTTAAATCTATAAATTTTTTTCTAAAATTTTAATATTTTATACATAAAACATATTCAAAATTATAATAATATTTAAATTAGTTTTTAGATTAAATTGATAATTTATTTATAATAAATATATATATTAAGATATAAATTTCATTTAGATAATTATAAATATTTATATTTACATTCTAAATATATTTAATCTTAATTCTAATTCATATTATTTATTTCTCTGATGTTAATATAAACAATTAATTTATTAAGAAATATAAAATAAAATAAAAAATATTTTTAAAATATCAATTTAGATTATATAAATAAAATATTACAATAATATTCCTAAAGAAACTAAAAACAAAAGAACTTTATGCTATTATTAATTGGTTTTTTTTTTTTTTACAAATATATATAAATTTTTTTTTTTTATTCAATTTTTATAAACTATTTTTAATAAAATCCATAACAAATCTTAAATAAATAAATTAATCTTACTTTCTTCATTCAAAAGTTATTTTAAAATTTATAATTCATTTTAATTAGCTCCATAACAAATAGAATTAGACACATAGGTATAAATATTATAAAACTCTTTTTAGCATATTTCATAAATTTCAATTTTTTTAATATCTAATACAGCATACAAATAACCTAAAAAATAGCAAAATTCTTTGAAAAACTATATTTTGATATTAGTTTTTTCCATAAAAAACATAATACAAAGGCAAGTTTTTAAACAGTATCCATATTATTATTATTTTATTAAATATCTAATTCTTTTATTTCTTTTATTTAATTTTTTATTTTTTCAAGTAAATTCTAATTACTCTATTTAATAACTGGAAAATCCTAAAGGATACTTTAATTACTATTCAAATTTTTTAATTCTTTTTTATCAGAGTTAATTAAAAATTAACTATTCTTTAAAATAATGATAATATCTTAAATATACTACTTAATATAAGAAGCTTATTATTTTTGTTATTATTAGATGTCTTAAATTCCGTTTTAAGTATCTAATTCATTTTAATTTTTATTAGTTTAATTTTAAGTATTAAAACTAATACTAATTGCTTCGCCTTTTTTCGGTCTTCCTGGTCCTTTTTTCTTACTTAAAATTAATTATTATTATGATAAATATAATTATTATTAAGATTATTATTGTAATTATTATTATTACAATAATTATTCCTAACGAGATTTTTTTTGTAAAATCCTTTGGCTTTTTATTGATAAATTATTATTATCGAAATTTTCATTTTCATTCTACTTTTACTTCTGTATCTCTTTATTATTTTAAAGGTCTTCTTTTAAAATAACTTTTTCCTATTTTACGGCTTTGTTTTATTTATTATTGACGCTCTTTTTATGCTAATTCATATATTTTTTGTACTGAAAAGCCACCATGTTTGCATTTAATGTGAGCTAATAAAGCAGGATATGATCCATATTTTTTTTTACATTTTAGAGCCCTACAATTAAAAGATTTATCAATTTAAAATGATTTTCTTCGATATATTTTTGGTTTCATTATTAATTATATATTTTTTCTTTCGTGTAATTATTTATTTATAAATAAAAAAGAATATTTATATATATTTTGATTTAATTAATTAACACGCTCAAAAATTTTTTTTAAAAACAAATTTAATAAAAATATATTAAAAAAAAAAAGTATTTTTATAATACACATAAAATAAATAAATATTTAATGAAAATAAAGTATTTATAATCATACTTTAAATAATTTTATTTTATTAATTTTACTTTTATTCCATTTATAAATAGACAGTCCTTTTATTTAAACATTTTAAAATAACTTTTTTATATCTGTAATTCATAATTTTCAATTTAATCCATATTTTTTTTATTAAAAACTACATTAATATTTATTTAATATTTTTTTTTTATATAATTATATTTGAACTTTTTTTATATAATTAGATTTAAACTTTTAGTTCCTTAAAATGGTTATTATAGTTTAACCTTTTATAAGTAAATAAAATATTTTGATAAACATAAGTTATATTTTTTTAGATAAATCACAAAGAAATAAATAATTAATATTTTAATTTTATAAAAGGATAGTTGTCAAATAATATGCTTTTATTATTTTATTAAAATTTGGTTTATTTAACATTTTATTTGTTTAATAGTTAAACAATTACATTTTAGATAGATAATAATAGATTATTTTTTATCAAAATTTTAAAAAACCTTTAAAAAGCTAGATAAATAAACTATTAAAGTATTCGAGATAATCCATAACATATTGTTATTTTTTTTTAAAATGAAAAATTTTAATTTATTTATAATTTAAATGTACAATATCATTATTTATATTACTTATAAAAATTTTATAAATAAACTTCAATAAAATAAAAATATTTATTTAAATTTATTCTAAATTTAAAAATTTTTAAGAATTTTGTAGATTTAATTTCTACTCTTTGCATGTATTAATAACATTTTTTTTTTTTTTTTAAAGAAAATGATATTAACTTAATGTAAATAATTTTAAAATATTTATTTTATTAATTCTTTACGATAATATTTATTATTTTCATTATTTATTTTTTTAAATTTTATAAAGTTTTTATTTAATAAAACATCATTTAATTTAATTTTTTTAAAATATTGTTAATATTATATTTTATAAATCTATATAATAATGACTTTAATAATAAAATTAAAAACTTTTAAATAAAAATTTATGAAATAAAGATATAAAATGTATATTAAATATAAAATAAAAGCAATAATAAATCATTTTAAAATCTATCTAAAAATAGACTATTCATTTAAGTAGTTTAGAATAAATTTAGCTATCACACTGCCTTTAAGATTATCACCATATTTAAACGAAACAACTTAGCCATTAGATCCGTCAGCAATAAAAATTCTATCTTAATAACTATTGGAAATTAAACTTGAAAATTATTAATTTATCTTTTATTGATCATCAATTATATTAATATATCCATTAAAAATATTAATATTATCTTATTACTTATTTTAAATATTAATGATTATTGGATTTAATAAATCTTTTTTATAATATTAATATTCTTAACACTTATGATATTTTTATTATATTAAATTAATAACTTCCTTCATTGTATCCTCAAACTATTACTATTTATTATTATTTAAATTAAATAATATAAAATAATAATTTTCATTAAAATCAGTACTTTTAATTAATTCTTATTTTTCATTTTATAACTCCCATTTATCAAAATTTAAGATAAATTTATAATCTAAAAAATTACTATACTATTGAATTTCTTTTTAATCATCAATTATAATTCCTTTCTAAATCAATTAATTATCTGAATAATTAATACTATTTTAATTTTTACTTTATTAATATTTATAAAATCCAGCTGATAATAACCCTAAAGAAACAAAAGTTCCTAATATTAATTTTCCTGAGTTATTTTTAGGGATATACTTTTAGTTAGATTAATAAAAATTGCATAGTTTTTTATACTAAAATCCTCTTTTAAATAAAAACATTATGTTTTAATTTTTAATAAAAATAAAAATAAAAATTAAATATATATATAACAAAAATAAATTACAAAAACATATAAAATATAAGATCATATTTATATTTAATATATATAATCTTTAAATTTATTATATAAGTAATTAATTATCATTAAAATTATTAAATTCAATATACAACAGAAATTTATATTCCATTTAGTTTTTTAGTTTCCTTTCTATTTTGTATACATATTTATTTTATAAACATCTAAATAATAATTATGATAATCAATTTAATTTTAAAAATAAAAAAATGAGATAATTAATACATTTTTTTTATTTAATTAGGGAAATGTTAATTTTTTATTGAATCCTTGTTTTTTTCTTATTTAATTTAAACAAAACAGATTAAAATTTATAATAAATGAATATATTAATATTTATATTAAAAAAAATGTTCGTTTAAATTTAAATGTAAAATAAATAAAAATTATTAATAATAAAAATTAATTATATATAATTATTTTTTAATATAAATAGATTTCTACTTAATTTCTTAAAAAAAATGTAAAATAAAAAATCTCCAAAATCTTAAATAATTCATGACTAAGTCAAACAAATTAGTCCTTATTCAAAAAACACATAAAATCAATAAAAGCTTTACAAAAATACACTTCATCAACAAATAGAATAATTTGAAATTCCTACAAACTAAAAGCATTTTCAAAAGAAATTATAAAAAGTAGCATAAAAACGTCAAAAAAATCTACAAGATCTTTAATAAAAGCAGTCTCTAAAATGTATTAATACATCCGAAAAAATTATTGAATTATGTTAAAAACAATAACAAATAAATAATAAGCATCAAAGATAAACAAATCTAAAATAACTGAAAAAGGAATAATAATAAATAAAAAACTCATCCAATTAAAATTTGTAAAGTGCAAATAAATGTATTAAAACTCCCTGGAGTGAAGAAGAAGATAAATTAGTAATAAAAATAGTAGAATAATTAGGTCCTTAAAAATGGACATTTATCGCACAACATATACCAGGAAGAATAGGAAAACAATGTAGAGAAAGATGGCATAATCATCTGAATCCAAATATAAATAAAGAGAGTTGGGACTATGATGAAGAATGGATTCTATATCTATGTCATAGACTCAAAGGAAATAAATGGTCTGAAATTACTAGATTTTTACCAGGAAGAACTGATAATTCAATTAAAAATCATTGGAATTCTTCTATGAAAAAAAAAATGGCGGAAATGTATCAAAGATATAAAGTTTATATTTAAACTAATAAACTAGAACCTGAAACTGATGATAAATATAAAACAGCTGAAGAAGAGTTGCTTAAATTATTAAAACTTAATAATGATGAAGGCTTTGAAGAATACTTTGTTTAAAATATCAGAAAAAAAAAGAAAAAAAATAATTTTTGTTTCAAAAATAATAATAACCTTTAAGAGAATTAATAAAATCAAAAAAAAGATGATTAAGAAGAAGAAGAAGATGATGATAAATCTATATTTTATAAACAAATATAAAGAACTTATATGAGTTAATAAAATATATCTTTACTTAAAATAAATTTAATTTAAAAACTAAATGAAAAAGGAAAATTCCACAGCTATTATTAACAAAATTTAAATAAAATTCTTTAAAGTTATCAACATTTATATAATTTTATTTAGAAAAATAACGATTTTTTTTTAATTGTAAAAGAAGTCTTATTACATTTTGGCAATTAATAAGATTAAAAAAAAAGAGGAAGAAAACCTAAATATTCTATTTATAAAGAATCTAAAATCTTCACATAAAATAATAATAATTGTGAAATATAATAAGAAATAAAATAAACTAATAATAATAAAGATACTTTTTTTAATTTCGAATAAAATAATTAAACAATTTCTTAAATTTAATAAAATAACTATGAAATCATTTCTTTCAACTAAAACAATTAATTTGATATATAAGATAAAGAGATACATTAATTAGTAGAACAAATGTAATATCATAATTATATGACGCCTTAAAAGTTCATTCACTGCTATAAAAATTAAAGAATTAGTAATGAAAAATTAGATATTAAATCTATTAATATTGACTTTGTTAATTTTCTTTTATGTTCAAAAGAAAATATTAATAACAACAGTATCGATAACCATAAAGAAAATTTCAAAAGTATATATATTACTCCTAAAAAATTTAATACTCCTTTAAGAGAAATTAAAGATTTAGATTCTGATAATTTTAAAGACAATAATTCTGTTGGTAAATATATAGCTTAGTTGTGAAAAATTATATACTTAAAGAAACTTATTAAAGGGATAATAATTTATTATATATTTATATTAAAACATATTTTTTTTTAATTTTTGAAATAAACTATATTAATGTATTTTAATAAATTTATATATGATATTTTTATTTTACTCAATATTTATTAATTTATGTAAATATATGTTAATTTTTAATACATTTTTAAATTTAACAAGCCATCTTATTTTTATATATTCATATTTTTTTAATTTTTTTTATAATTATTTAGAAAGTTATGTTATATTATTATTATTTATTAGTATAAATATATTATATTATGAATATTGAAAATAATAAAAATTTTTATCTTACAAAATATAGATTCATAATGTCATAATGTTTTAAAAGTATATAATCTAATTAATTTTAGTAGATTTAATTAATTTTTTTGATGATCACGATTTTATTTAGTATACTTAGATATTTATATGGTATTTATAACTGAAAATTATAATATCAATTATATTAATATTTTAAATTAGTAAAAAATTAAAAGACTTTAAAATGTGTTATTTTGAGTTTGATTTTTAACTGTATAAATTTTTAGAATATAATGCTGATTATTTAATTTTTATAGTTCTTTTGGTTTAAATTAAACTTTTAAAAATTTATAAAAAACTTATTGTATATGGAATTTATCATATATATTTTTGTTAGTTGTTTAATTAAATTTCATCATATTTTTTTTCTTTATTATTTAAAACATTATTATTCTAATTTTGCTCTAATAAATTGTTTAATTAAGTTTTTATTAATCTATTCAACTTTTCAATAATCTAATTTAATAATAAAATAATTATAAATAAAAACATCATTTCATCATTTTAAAATCAGATTAGTATATAGTTTTAAATTAATATAATTTTATTTCATAAATTTATTTATACAAATATATAATTTCTATAAACTATTAATGGTAATTATCATTAATTTTGAAGTACATATACGATTATATAAAATTGAATTTCTATTGTATATGATGCCAATTTATTTATTAAATATAATTTAAAAAAGAATTAATATTTATTATATAGGTTTTATTTTTATTATTTACTAAATAAAATAAAAAAAAAAATTATTTAAAAAAAAATTATATGAAAAAATAAAAATACATGTATAATTAGTAAAATATATTTAATTTTATTTATGAAAATATTGTATATATATATAAATTTTATAACAAATAAATATAAATAAATATTCAATCATACAAAATAAGCATTAAAATGAATAATAATAAATAATCATTAGTTGTATCAGGAGTAAATTCGACTTCATATAATTAACAATCTTATAATTATAATGGAAACTCACTGTTTACGTCAGATTTGAATATTTCTTCTTTATCAGTCTCTACAACAGGAACTGTAAAGCCAATAAAAAGCACATAATCATACTTAAAAGATATAGAAAGTAAATATACTTAATAGCCAGATCCAAAACAAGATCTTTAATTATTAAAAAAAATAAGAAACAACAATAATTAAATTTAAAAATCATAATAAACAGGATAATATAGTGTATAAAATGATTTCAAAGAAGATAATGTACCTTAAATATTTAGAAAAATGGAAAAAGTAAATCTGTACTAAGATAATAACGAATAAAATATTTGTCAATAAGGTAGTTTAAAACCTCCTTAAAGTTCTTATAAATTAATGAATTATGAAAAGCCAAATGAATAAATTAAAGGAAACAAAAGATAAATATTTGATTAAGTAAAAATAAATCAGAAGACTAAAAGCAATATATATTTAAACAATCTGAATACTTTAGATGCTATAAATATTTAAATATAATAAATACATTAAGATATAAAAAACAATCATAAAAATATTAATAATAACTTTACTTAATAGATGATATAATAATTAGGATTATGTATTGATTTATCTTAAAGAATTCTTGATTAAGATGATCAGTAAATATTATTAGCATTAATAAAAAGTATTGAAAGATATAAATGTAATGCGAAAAATTAACTTTACTATAATGAATTTTAATTACTTGAACATTTCTATGATAATTTATAATAACTTGGATAATAAAAAATAACAAAAGTTAAAATTATAAATACACCTATATAAGAGTTAAAAGCTTTAGAAAAATTATAATTTTAGTAAATTGTTTATGATTAGGCTTTTAAAAATAAAAATTACTATCCTTAATAATAACTTATTGATAATTTATTTTAAGAAGTTTAAGATATTAAAATTCCTTAAAACTAATGGATTCAATATATTTAAAATAGAATTTGATAATAAACTTTATATTTACATAATTTAATTATTATTATTTTATTTATTAAAAATTTATAATTATTATGAACATAGTATCTTTAATAATATTTTTTATATAATTTATTTAAAAACATAATAAACTAATTATTCTAATATCAAAAAAATAAGAAATAAAAGCTTTTAATATTAATAATAATAAGCTTCTTATCATAATTTAGAGTTTTATAAAATATTTTATTATTAAACATTATAATCATGATTTAAACAGTTTAAAATTTAAAAATTAAACATAAAATTATTTTAAAAAGCTTTTTCATTATATAAAATACATTAAAAAATTATTTTAAATTTGGAATATAATTTAAATATAAAATTTATTATTTTGGTATTAATAAATATTTATATATATATATTAAGACATTTATTTAGATTATTATATTGTCAATATTTATAATTTTTATTTATTTAATGTAAATCGATTTTTAAAAATTTCCAGTAATTACAAAATCAATTTATTAAAAATAATCAAAGTAGCATTAGTTTAATTTAGATTATATGATAAAAATATATTTAGTCTTTTTCGTTAATATTAAGTTTATTTAATCTATTGTTATTATTTATATATAAAACACTAAGCCGGCATGCAAATAACCATACCATTTTGCATTTTTTATGTTTTTTTTTTCTATCACTTCTAAATATATTAATAAAATATGTTTGCATAAATTTGAGTTTTAATTATTTTTAGAATTACAAATAAGAATTTTGTTTTTAAAATCAAATTTGCATAAATATTTTATAAAATTATGGTTTTGATTACAGTTATTAGTTTAAAATTCAATATCATAATTCAATTATTTTAGTATTTGTTAAAATTTATAAGTAATATTATTTTAATTTATTTGAAATTAATTTTTTTTAGTTATTTAAAAATGAAATTTAAATTAATGAGTAGAATATTATTGATTTTTATTTATATTTTAATTTAAGTTTAATCGAATAAAATACATCAAATCATTAATCCATTAAAATTAGGACTATATCCTACTCCTTCTAAATAAGTAAATATATATTATTTCATTCTAAAACTAAAATATCGTAAAAGTATTAAAAAAAAAAAGAATTAGAAGATCCTTAATCTATTTTTGAAATAGTAATAAAAATGGATAAAATATAACAATAAATATTATAATTTTTTTTTTTTTTGTAAAATTAAATAATAAAATGGTTTTCCATTAAATAATTAACTATTATGTCAAATATTTAACTTAATTTTCACTTTAAAAAATAATATTAAATATTTCCTATATACATATATATTATTTTTATTATATTTTTAAAAGAAAGCGTAAAGCGTAGTTGAAATAACGTTTGATTTTCGTCATTTACGTGAAATTGATTAATCTTTTGATTTTAATTATAAGATATAATGGGATGTAAAATAATTAAAAAAATAAAATAAAATAAATTATTTATGGGAAATCAACCGAACCAAACCGGAGCTGTAGTCAATATTTATCAGCTTTTTTCTATGCATTACTATATTAAAATCAAATAAAAATAAATGTTTAGTTTTGGCTCATTTTTCATTGTTTATCAAAGGTTCGGTTGATTTCTATAATTTAACTATTTTTCTTAGTTAGTTTATAAAAATAAATATATATGAAAAAGATACTGATAGGTTTTTCGGAAAATATAGACTTTGAAAAATGGAACAATAATCCCGACTAATACAAAATAACTTTACCATAAAATTTCGTTAGTGATAAAATAAATAAAATAAATACTCACACATTTCGTTTATTTGCTATGTAAGATTCAGAGCTAATAATTGGAATTCGTATATTAAATGTTAAATATTTTTCTATGCGTAGTATATTTATGTAATGTGCAAAAATTAAAATAAATACGCCTTATCGTGCAATATTTTAATAAAATAAAATATTTGCTGCTGTTATAAAAAATCCCTCTGTAGCAAACCTTCCTTTATTTTTACCTAATTTAGACTAAGATGGTAAATATCCTAACTATTTAATAGGTTATACATAAATAATACCTCCAAATACATTAACTAATTTAGAATTGACAAAAGACCAATAAAAAATATTCCAAAACAACGCTTTTTATTGGAAAGATAAAACTCAAATTGTAATGCCTTATATTCCTTTTTTTTAAAACTGTTAAAATATGGGTGAATATATTTTCTTTGAAGATTTTATTGAAAATGAGGAATATTGTTAAATATATGATACTTCATAAACTAAGCCTATAAACTAAGTAACTTTCGGAGATGTACCGATTTCAGATACATGTAAAAACGTGGAACTTACATGCGTTATGGATGATGCTTTTTTGGAAAACCCTGCATAAATAATGTGGTTTTAGACAGTTAAATAAGATGTACTTTTTTATTTGACTAATAACCCTATTGATATAACAAAAATAATTAATGAAAATAAAATGTTTACATATTTAGATTTAATACCAGTGATAGTTTAAAGCGATATTCCTTCAAATAAGTTGCCTACTATCGTTGAATTATAAATAAAATATTATTAAGTTGATAAAGAAAATAAAATAATTATTACAGCCCTTGTTTATTTCAAATAATTAGTTGATATAGAATAATACAAAAGTAAAAAATAAGCATTTAAATATGTCCTTAATATAAGCTTTCTTTCTATGACTTAAGCTGAATTAGCTATTGCTTTTGCATTAGATTGGATTGTTTATTTAATTTTATCTTTACTAATTGGAACTTTTAGTGTTGTTATGATATCAATTTTCAGTGGTTATCATGCTTTAATGAATAAAATGTTCAAAAGATAAGTAAAAGCCAAATTTAATATTTTTAAAGGGTATTTTAAATAATTTTATCCACCTTTAATTATAGGAATAAGTTTTTCATGTGTACCCGTATTTTTTATTTCTTTTCTTTGTTCAATTATTATGACTGGAGGATTTTGGGATGTGTAATTTTTCCCTTGTTCAGTTTAAGATAATTGCTAAAGCTTTTTTGAATATTTTGATGTTTTTTAGTTTTAATTAAAAATAAATATAAATATTTTTTTAAAAAAAAAATAGCCTTTTTTATTATTTGAAAATACTACTTAATAAATAAGAAGCGGAAGAACCGGACTTGCTTAAATAGTTATTGGTATATATTCAACGATGGTTATGTGTAGAGTTTTTATACCTGATACAACTGAAAATAAAATCCAGAAATCAAAAGATAGAATTTAAAAAGACTTATAAAATAATAAAAATTGCAAATTTATGAGGAGGATTTTTCATCTCGAAAATAAGCAAGATTTGTTTATTAAAGAATCTCATGATGGAAATATTTGGAATGAATAGTCTTGGCATAGAATGTATTTTTTTTAGTTTAATATTTTTATTTGGATTGTTATGATTTTTATAATGTATTTATCTTTCTCTACAGTTTATGGAAAATATATCTGGTATTTTATGGTTGTGTTGAAAGTTTTCTAAATTGTCTTCGAAGAATGGCTTAAGCTTTATGTTTGTACAGAACTAAAACTTAATTTATTAAGTGTATTATTATGTAATCTTAATATAATTTATTTATAAATGATAAAATGTGAATAAATTATTTTTTTAAAAAAGCTTAAGGAATGTAAATTGCTGGACTTGGAGCTATTGACTTTTTTGATTTCTTATTTTCCTATTTTGTAGGATTAGGTATTTAATGTTTTGAAAAAACACACTAAGTACTTTCAGTAAAATATTTAACTGATTATTTCTTTGAAATATCTGAATAAATATAGAAATATTTAAAAAAGTGACTTATTATATATTTTTTTTTAAAAATAAATAAATTAAAAATAGAATAATAAGTAAAAGCGAAGATATTGATTTAGATGAAGAAGATGATAACACTACTTTAGAAAAATCAAATTAAAATATTTTATTTTCTAATAATATTGATGATTTTTAAAAAGTTGAAAATCATAAATTTATTTATGAATAACAATAATAATACAAAATAAATGTAAAGAAATAACGTAATATTAATAAAAATATAATATATTATTTATAAAAATATAGTTTAAGAAACTGATAGTGATATTATATTGTCAGAATAATTTGAAGAAAGTGTAGGGACTTATGTTGATGATATTTGTAAAAATAAAAACTATAAATATATTTTTTTTAATTAAAAAGAGGAATTAGAATATGATGAAATATTATCTTAAAATAAAATAAAAAAAAATACATTGTATAAACAACAAAAATTAGTTTAGAAAAATAATAAAATCAAATCTAAGATTTTAAAAATTAATTGTATAAAGAGGAATGTGATTCAGTTTATGAATTATAAGAAACAGATAAATATGAAAAATATTACTAACATTATTTAAAGACAAAATTTAATAATCAATAAAACTAAAAAACCAAACAAAACAAACAAAATTATGAATAAAGTGAATATTCGAATTAATTAGAAATTTATTGCGATTTTTCCAATAATAGCTTTACAATTTTTTATTATGCAATATATAAAATAAAAAATATTTAATTAATAATATATTTTAAAAAAGCCTATATCAATCATTATTACATGGATTTTTATGATGAAAATGAAATTCCATTAATGTTCGGAATATCTAAGGCAGGTTTAGTTTTTTACTTTTTATTTAATGTTGCAATTATACCATTTTAAAATAATAATTGATGCTCTCTTATTACAAGTAGTAGAATAAATACACAAATTATTTGTTTTAGAATATGGAAAGATAATATAAGATAGATTTAATAATCGTAAATACAACTGGAAAATAGAAGATGAGGAAGATATCCTTGAAGACATAGAAGATGGTTTTAAAACATTAGATTAATGGGGATATTCTCCACAATTTTATTTTGTTGAAAGCATTTATGTAGCAGGTAAAAGTAATCATAAGTAATTTATAATATTAAAAAAATAGGAGGTATATTCGGATTTATTGGCATATAAACATGTTTAGTATAAACATTTAATATATTTGATAATATAATAACATTTTTAATTATTGTTATATTTTGGATTATTATATGTTTTATAGTTTAAATGTTGACCATTTAAATTTATAAAATGACTTCTATATGGAAAGTAAAAAATAAAGATAAAATAGACAAAACTTTAGAAACTCAAATTAATGATTAAGCTTTTGAAGAGAATAAAGATATCACATATATTAATAAATATATATAAAAATAATCCTTATTTAAAAATTTTTATTTAACGATAAGTAAATTATTGCTCAATTCTTGATATTCATGTATAGAATTTCATTGCTGAAATTTCTGATAATTTTAAACCTAATTAAGAAATTTTTAAAAAAGAAAAACACTTAAGATTTGGTAAATTCTAAAAAGCATTTGAAAAAGCAATAAAAGTTAAAGAAAATAAAACAAGACTTGAAGATTTAAAATAAAATCTCGAATAATTCGAATATAAAGATGAAAAATTTCTCTATAACTTCTTAAACTCAAATAAACAGTGGTTTAAATACAATATAAAAATTCTTTTTGAGTAAATTTTAAAGGAGAAAAATACACAACAAATCAGTATAAATCGAAAAATAATATTAGAAGGATTCGAAAAAATATATGGGCATTTTTAAAATAAATAGTTGTAAGATGACTCTTAATTATAAATAAAAAAATAAGATGAAAATTTAACTACAAACAAGAAAAAGTTAAATTTTTAAGAATAATAGCTAAGAAATTTAATTTTAATATTTTAGTATTGGTTAAGACGTGCGAGAATACTTAAATAAGTCGAAAATTCAATAGGAGGATTTTTATTTAAAAACGTAAACCAAAATTGTTTCTATTGTAAATCCTCTTGGGGATTATTACATTATACAGAATAAAATGTTGAAGATTTGCATTTGAAATTTATACCATTATACAAATAAGACAAAATCCTTTTTTAAGAATAAAATTATCTAATAGAATGGCAAAATTTCTATTTAAAGCATGCCCGTTTTATAACTATTTGTTTTCTTTGTAACAGTAAAATAAATGATAATTTTTATTAGAAGATATAATAATATAAAGAATCCTTATAAAGTCTATAAAATAATTATTATTTATAAGATCCAACTTTACAAAATAATAATTTAATATAATCTTAATAAGAAATTAATTATTGTTTAGATTCTAATAATAAAAGCATTATTTAGGAAATATCAGAAGAAGAAGAATATTACAATACTTAATAATATGAAGAGTATGAAGAAGATGAAATAAAAAATGCTAATTTCTCCTATTTTAAAATATAAATACTGAAAAATGGAGGAGATTGCTTTTAAAAAAAATTAACTTCTTTTATTAAAATTTGGCTTAGTGTTATTAGGTAATAGAATTTTTTTTATTTTCAAAAGAGTTTTTCATAGCATAGTAATAGATTTTCAAGTGATTCTAGTGAAAATATCAATAAAACACATCCAGAAATGTCATAAACCTAAAGTGAAATTAATTAGTCTAAAAAAATAAATTAAAATTTATTATTAGAAAATGATTCAAATTAATCTTTAAAAATTTTGAAAAATATTCAACCAAAGATATCTTAAGAAGATATTAAAAATGAAAAAAATGAGCAAACATTTTTTATTAATTCTCCATTAAATGTTCCAAGTAATGAAGAATTAGATAAAGTTTTATAAAATAATGAAAAAAAATTCAAAAATAAGGTTTCACCATTTTTTGTATTTTCTCCTATTTAAAATTAGAAATAATAAAGCTTCTATTATGATTAATGATAAATTTATAACCTTATATTTATTATATTTTTATAAAAATGTATTTTACTAAAATATAAAAAATCTATATTTAATTATATATAAAGATGTAATTATTTAAAAATATTATAATATATAATATATATATATATATTTATATATATATATAAATAAATGTTATATTTATAATCTATAATTATCTATAAATTTTTTATATTTATATATAATTTTTTTTTTTTTAAATTTATATGTATATATATTATTATAACTATATATATATATTTTTTTTATATAATATATATATTTTGATTTCTATCAAGAATTTTTTTTTATTATTAATAAAATATCTTTATTTATTTTAATTTTATTTTATTTATTTTTATAAATCTTTTTTAATATATGTAATAATTATTTTTTATAATTAATTTCTTTATCTTTTAATTTTTTATATATTTTTTAACATATTTTAGAATGTCTATTTCTTTTATAAAGAATTTTAATTAATTTATTTATAATGATATATTTCTTTAATTTGTAACAATATTCTTTATAATCGAAATAAGCTCTATATAAATGTTTCTTAAAATGATCATATAATTATTAAATATTAAAAAAAACATGTAATTTTATTTATTCAATTATATTATAATAATATTAATTAACAAATATTAATTTTAAATAAACTAGATTTGTTATTATTTTATAAAATAAATTATTTTATATCAATATAATTATAATATTATTTTTATTATAATATAATTTTTTTTAAAAAAAATACAATTAAATATAAATATATAATAAAAAACAAAAATATAAACTTATGTAATATATTTATTTATATATATATAAAGTTAATTCTATCAATTATATAAAAAATAAAATCAAACTATTTTTAGTTCAACAGCTTAATCATATAATTATCCAACAGTTAATTCTTTTTTATTTTTAACTAAATCAACCAATTCTTTTGTATTTTTTCCAGTAATTCTAATAAGTTAATCAAGTTTTTCATCTAGTCCTTCTCCAAGTTTTTCATGTTCTATTCTTTCAGCATCTCCAGAAATAAGTTATGGTTATTCACCTTATTTTTTAATATATTTATAACAGTTTTGAGGGTTTGTACTATCATATTATTCTTCTATTTCCATTTCAGGAGTTTTATAGTAGTGTTTCCTATAAACTTATTGATTATATTATTATTATCCAGGCTACTACTATGAATTTTTTTAACATTAAGGATTGTGTTTTTCTTATTCAATTTGATTAATCAAAGATTCTTTGTCTTTAGCAATATCTTCCATTTGTTATTTTAAACTGGATATATGTTCTTCAGTTTATTAGATTTATCTTTATAACCTTTATTCATAATTATTATATTATTTAAGTCTGTTTTCAAGATATTTAGGCCTATTTATTGAATGATAATGATGAGCTATATTTCTATACTAGTCGTCAAAAAATCCATGTCGGAAAAAATCATTAAAGAAGAAATCGTTAAAAAATGACATTTTGAATAGTATTTTTATTTTATTTTTCTTTTTTTTTTATATTATTTTTATTATTATTGAATTTTATATATTTTTTTTTTAAGTTTTTAATATTTAATTTTTTATTTCTAGAATTTTTATTTTTTTCTTTTTAGAAAAAAAGAAAAATATATTATAATTAAAGAATATATTTTTTTTTTAATATAAATAATTATTATTAAAAAATTCCATATTCTATAAAAATTTATAATATTATAATTTAATCTTTGTATTTTTTTTATAATTTTGGAAAAATTATATTTTACATTAAATATATTCATTTTATATAATTAATGATAATTTTTTATTAAATTAATATTCAAATTATAATTAATTTATTTGTTTATAATTTTCATTTGTTAAACTTAAAATAATTACTTGGAAAACATTTTAATTAAATTATTTCAATAATTAGAATCATAATAAATTGATTTAAAAAAAAAATATTTATAATTTTAAAATTAAAAAATATATTAATATTATTATTTATATCTATATATAAAAAAAATTAATATATATTATCTTTTTTAAACAATTTTTATTTAAATATAATAAATACATAATTAATTAAACACAAAAATAATAATTTTTGATAATTGATTTATTAAATATTTATATTTATGTATTATTATTTTATATTAGTATTTTATTTTTTTTAAAAACAATTAAAGAAAAAATATTTTAATAAAATAAATATAATTAAACTTTTATTTTTTATTATAATATTTTTAGTATATCCATTCAATTTAATTAAATAATAACATAATACAGAATATAT